TACACGAATTTGTAAAAAAAGCATTCGTTTTCGTGCGAAATAGAATGAACGTTCCAAATCTCTGTTTCTATTTAACAAATGATAAGTCTTTTTCCGTGAAGGTGCATTCAGTCGTAAAAAATCAGCGAATGATTTCCCGAATGTGCACTGCATTTAGTGTATTGACAATTCATTTTAGCGCGAAATCGAAGGCACATCCGCAATCCTATTTTCCTTTTAATTTATCATCAATCTTTTTCGCTAAATGTGCAGCCGATTTCCCTTGCAGTGTTATTTAACGTATGCCTGGTCAAGCATTGGAATTCATTTATGTGTTAAAGTAACATTTGAGGAATGGTTGATTGAATGATTGCATTTTTGAATATTCATGATGATTGAGCTAAAACCTAGTGGTGTAGTCTTTTGAAACAAACCAACTATTGTAATAAATCCTATATAAAAACAAAACTGAAGAAAATCACTTTTTTTTCTGCTCAGAATTTGCCACAATCGCATCATATAGCCTAGTGTCTCAGTTCACATAGTCCTAAAATATCCAATAATGGCTGCAAGAGGGAGATACAGACAAATCTCGGACGTTGACCGAAATCGCCTCATCGATGCCTTTGAGGCTGACGACGCTGACTGCAGGTAGCAGATACGCTGGGTATCAAGCACTCAGCGGCCAGATCAATCGTTGGCGTAGGCCTTTATCTCCGGGATGGTCGTCGTAACAAGCTGCCGAAAGGAGGACCCATAAACCAGAAGGTTGACGACGACATGAGAGATGCCCTTCAAGGATATCTAGATGACAACCCCCTTCTAACTTTGCGTCAACTCTATACTCAACTGCATGCGAGCTGATCTTCCCGATAAGCCCTTCGTGACCACTAGTACCATCACTAGAACTCTAGATGGTATGCTTGTAACTCTTAAACTAGCGGAAGATGTTCCAGAACAGAGGAATGAGCCACGCATATTAGATGCACGAGTCATATTTGGAAATTGGTTTCTTTAGGTTGGTGTCCTTGGCCACACTGTGTACATTGATGAGACCGGGTACAACGTATGGACCCGTCGGTCTGTAATATGGTCGCGCTCCTCGTGGAGAGCCAGCAGGCGTGTCGTCCATGGCCAGAGAGGCAAGCAAGTCAACATCACGTTTGCCATTTTTTTTCTGGTGAGGTTGGACTTGTGGCTCACAGAATATCATCAGAGACTGTGACGAGAGCGACTTTTGAGGAGTTCTTAACGACGACTGTACACGAATGTGGTATGTTATTCCCGGCAGGCGAACGCATGATCTGATATATGACAACGCTCGTCCTCATATCCGAGCCCAACTACCCCCTGATGCCAGCAATTTCACCATCAAGCTGCTGCCACCATACTCGCCATTCTTAAATCCTACGGAAATGGCGCACTCGGCTTTCAAGGCGGGAGTGAAGCGCACGCTGGTGCTTCCTGAATGGCAGGACAGATTGGAGACCAAGACGCAAGAGTCCAAGCTGGTGTGAACCTGCAAGTCTGGAGATCCCTCTGTCTCCAGGAGGTGGCTGCACTCAACATTGGAGGTGACACCTGCGAAATGCACCGCCTGTTACAACCATTCTCAGACATATCTCCCTCGATGTCTTGGTAGACAGGTCATTGAAGGATAGACAATCGAACTGATAAAACGAGAGAGAAGCTTAAGAAATACATAAAGAAATTAAAATACAATTAAGGTAAAGAACCAACAAAAAGTCCTCATGCAGATCCCATGTATCATGACACGTGATGTGTCCCTTTATCGTTTCAATAAAATGGCTACAAGATAATTTTGATTGATTTCATATTGGTCATATTTATATCATTTTCACATTTCATTTGCCTACATTTCGCATAGGCCTTTGTGTTTATAAGAAAAATACATTAATGATCAATAAGGCATACCTTGATTAATAAATGAATCAAAGTTGTATCATGATTTGTAAAGGCCCGTATAATTTATTTAAATTGAATGCAGAAAATGCGAATTTAAATTGTAACAAATGAAAAAGAATGTTCAATTCAGCCCGTGTCACAATAGACAATCGATTTTTTGCGAATTGGATTGCACATTCGAAATAATCGGCAACACATCCGTCAATCCGAAAACCTAATCACGTATTTGAAATCCCTTAAATGAAACGTTATGCACATTCATTCATTGTGAATGCAAAATGAAATCGAATGCTAGTTATTGTGAAAATGAAACCAGGATGTACGTCGTTCTCAAACTCAGCGCCAAATTGAATTTATGATTTTCTAATTAAAACGCACAATTTTCCGAAATTGTCCGGGAAAACCTATAGTCTATCTGATGAGAATTATTGTCCTTTTTAAAAATGCGATTGAAAAGACGTCCTCCGGTGAGCTGTTTTACGCAAAACGAGACTGGAGACAATTCGGTCACAAGAGGGCGTTTTATTCGATCTGAAGCACGGACATGCACTCTGAACCAATCAGAGTGCTCGCATAGAAATTGCTAGCGATTCAAAAAAGTTTTCCCCAAGTCGGTAATTTTATCAGAAATAGTCAGCATCATTTGGTCTGGGAACCAGACTACGCACATTGCAGAGATCTTTTGCGTGCATGGAGCCAGAAACCGTACGTAAAACAATTACCGACTTGGCACTAAGTCTAGCTCTGCGTTATTCTGTGGGTGCAGACCAGATAAACTGCCATATACCCCAATGATAAATGCCCCCACTTCAGATATTCAGGAAAAATACTTTGTAATGTGATGACTTTTGGGAGACACTTTCATCCGAAAATGATTACCCCTTGAAATAATCCTGAAGCCCATCGCCATTTTGAAAAACGCTGGATATACTCCATTGCAAAATAGAGCGCTTTTAGGGCCCCAAATTCATCCAAATTGCACAGAAATACAAGCTTACGGTCCTGGGAGGGTGCTTATTCACAAAGCACCCGTAAATGTTTGCGTTGTGGGGACCCGTAAGTGGATGTTAAGGGCACGTAAGACTTGCGTTAAGTGGTATTCACGAAGCACCCTTAGAGTTCCCTTAGTGAACCCGCATGTTGCGGGCACCCGCAACTAATTGGTTGAACATAAAAAAACACATGCCAAGACATTTTATCCTACTTCAGAGTTCTTGCTCGTTGTAAAAATTACAGGCAGAGTCGATTAATCTTTGTCTTCTTAGCAAACAATCAACACCAATCAAGCATGTCTTTAAGAGCATGTTCTTCCACTCATTTATAGAAAAAAAAATAAATCACTAAAATTTACCAATGCTTTCAGAAGTTATGCATGTGTTACAAACGTAGCCCATTTTTATAGCTGTCCTTGAATGTCATTAGAAGCTATTGAGTTTAGTGAGAATCATATTACAGACAAACTTTAAAATACCAACAAGACTTTAAAGGAAACATGCATTGGAAATTCAGCTCATCTTGTTCTCTTGCACTTTATTATGTGTCGCAACAATACATACAAGATCGTAATACTTGTTTTCGTTGGAAGTGACAAGAAAGTGGTAGTTTTTCAATTGTTAGCAAATCCTTTCATCAATACAATCGCATGTAATGGGCTCTATTTTGCTTTTGTCGCACAAGGAACTCCTTGTCAAAAGTGCATATGAACAGTACAAACATAACTCCTTAAAAGTTACCCACAAACAAAGCTTCGAAAAAACTAGTGGCGACTGCTAGTGTCCAAACAAGCTGTTTAACATGATAAGCAAGTAAAAAGTGGAACTTACTGCAAGAAAATAAAGAAAAGTTTGATATATATTTGTACACAAAGCTGTAGACACACTTTTGTTCTGCTTTGAATGACATCATGCTTTGGCTCATGAATATGGAAATTTTCAATGGCATAAAAATTGAAATGTTGAAATTTCTCCCTTTTACTACTACAAAAGAAGGTTGAAAGTCATAGTAACATGGCAAGAAAGCTGTTTTAAAACTATTTAAGTCATACAAATCCTTTTGCAGGTTCCCTTTAATAATTGAACTCAAGACAGAAACCACTGTCAGAATGTGTGCTTTCAATATATAAGAAACAAGTTAGCTCTACTTTAAAAAAAAAAAATGGATGGGATTTTTGTATCCTTTCCCATGCTCTTCATTCAGTGGAGGTGGGAAAGTCCACGTTTCATTGCAATCAATGGGTGTTCAGTTTGCATCACGTGATGAGTGGTAAACAAGTTTGTGATCGTTTTATTGAAATAGACATAACTTAGGATTGGACTGTGCAATTTAAGTGAAACGTTCACACTTAAAAGCCCATAAGATGTACTTCGTCCCATAAAAAAACAAAGGGCGGCAGTCGCTTCCCAAAAGTGGAGGACATACCTATTACGGCATGGAGCGGGCCCCGAAAATTTTTGGATTCTAGATGCTTGCTCTGTGGTGCGATCTGAGGCAATTTCTGAGCACTCAAACCACTTTTGTGAGCAAAAGATAATCTTTTAAACATAATTTTTTGAGTTTATTCGGGGATAGAAAAAGTGTGGGGGGGGGGGGCAACGACATGATATCCGCCACTTAAAAAAAAAAGTGGGGGAGGACTTGTCCCCCACCGATTGACGCCCATGAAAATGGAACACGCCAAATATTTTAAACATATTTTTCAAATACGGTCACTGTTTTGTTAACTCATCCTATAGTTGGTTCAACCGGTCACGGAAGATGAACCGGCACGTCGATTCAGTTCGTAGATCCAAAATACATGCCAAGAGTGCCGCCATTGTGACAATCGAGATGATCCACGCAAGTTGTGGTCTGGAGGTCCCGCAAATTTACGGGTGGTTTACGGGCACACGCAGATTTAAGGGAGCTTCGTGAATAACCCGCAAGTGCTTAAGTGAGGGTTGCGGGGAAGTTGCGCGCCCGCAAGCATTTACGGGTGCTTTGTGAATAAGGACCCTGCACCCCTCCCTATAGGTAGATTCGGCAGTTTATCTCTTGAGAATGTAAGGATGACATGCAACATTTTTGGTTATTTAATGAAAAATGTATATTTTATTCAGGACAGGTTGGCGATTGGAAGAACCAATTCACGGTAGCTCAGAGTGAGTTGTTTGATGAGCTATTCCGGAAGGAAATGATGGGCACACAGCTGACATTCGACTTCGAGTAAATATATCTTTGTGGAAGCGTTTGTGGAGACACGGCTACAATAGGCTTATAAGTACTGTAGGTTTTATCTGATATGACAATGTTAAAAAGAGCAGCAGTTATTACTAAACAGGGTGTTGGGTTGATGTAGAGATCTCGATCTTATTGACCCGTTCCGTATTCAAAATCCAAAATATAGCAGATATACTCGGAGACAGCATTTTACACTGAAACAATCTAGGCTGGATTTCTTTCTTTTTATAATTATATCTTCTGAACTTTGGTTTTAACTTTGTTTCATCTGAAATCGCCAGTCAGGTTATCAGATAGCCCCATAAATGTGGCCTATTTACTGGACTGCCTCCGTAAACATAGGCCACACATCCACATGTACAAAAACGTGTCGCATTTTGCCAAATTTTGATTTTCCCATTTAGGCTTAGTTTGTAGGTTTTTTTTGCTTTAGAAGTATACTCACCCTCTTTATAGGATAATCAGAAAGTGCTGCCTTTTTCAGGTGTCTATTTTTCGTGAAATTTCAAGATTCATTTGCACACGTTTGCGTATCAAAATTTCAACATAAAATTTCACAAAAATTAGACATCTGAAAAAGGCAGCACTTTCTGATTAGCCTATAAAGAGGGTGAGTATGCTTCTAAAGCAAAAAAAACCTACAAACTAAGCCTAAATGTGAAAATCAAAATTTGGCAAAGTGCGACACGTTTTTGTACATGTGGATGAGTGGCCTATGTTTACGGAGGAAGTCCAGTAAACTGGCCACATTTATGGGGCTAGTTATCGGACAGATCATGGGTGACATCCGTGTTGATATTAATCAGATTAAGAGGGGACCGGGCTATTGGAAATTAAAAATTTTTTTTTTAATTCTTCCTAGTTTTTTTCCACCGGGAAACTAACTTATCGAAAAATAAGCATTCATAAATACCTCAGACAGTTTAGCTATTCCTATTGGTCGAGAGCCCGTCACGTGGCCGGTCTTAAACGGATGATAAAGACATGGCTAGCTGGTCTTAAACACTTTTCCAGTGTCACAACAAAATGTGGACTCCTAAAAATCCAGTGCCTCTAACCGTTTCATTGGTTGAACGTTCACAATCCTCACGTAGGCATGCGCAACTCTACATGCGAGTCAGAATTTTATAGTTCTAAATTCAAAACGCAATGCCCCAGGTGCGTTCTGCGTGACATCGCGCAGAACATGCTACGCGCGCGTCAATCTCCATAAAAGGGTTGTTTACATCTTAATCGCCAGCTGAATACTCCATTATTTTGCTAGAGGGATGTTTCAAAAAGCATGAAGTGAACTTGTTGAACAAAATCGGGATTTTTTGAACGAATTATTTGATTTTTTTTACGGATAAGGTATTTATGAATGGGAATAAATATGTGCTCGGTCGGTATTTATCACTCTGTTTAATACCGCTTAGAGTCTGGGTGCTGATAATTACCCTCGCCTCCGGCTCGGGTAATTATCAGCACCCAGACTCTAAGCGGTATTAAACAGAGTGATAAAAACCTCTCGAGCACACATTTATTCCCTTATTAAAGAACAAAATCAGTATGATGTCAACGTAAAAACATATACTAAAACCATTATTTGTACAAACTTGTCATTTGTGGGCAATGAATGAAGGACTTAATTGGAAATTAAGTGACAATGCATCCAACAATAATTTCTGGGCTGATGCCGAAATAATTTAGAAAAAAAAAAAGAAGAACAAAAGTTTTGAAATTACAAAAACAACCAACTTTTATTGATGTATTGAAAGAGAGTGCCATTTCAGGTGATGTACCATCATAACTGTTATATTTAGGAGGCATACAATGTACCGTACCCTTCAATTGTTTAATTGTACTAATTAATGTGCTTCCATTATCAAAGCTATATTCAGTCATTATTTTAAAGAATAAGAAAGTCCTACAACATTAATTGTTGGGAACATTTGAAACAAAAGTAATGATACATGGAAAAAGTGTAGTTTGTGTTCATTCAGCAACTACATTTAACAGTTGTTGACTGATGTGATGTGGGATATGACGTTTTGAACACCCGAGGGACGCATAGCGCCCGAGGCAAAGCCGAGGGTGCTATGCGTCCCCGAGGGTGTTCAAAACGTCATATCCCACATCACATCAGTCAACAACTGTTTTGTCATACCTCTGTCTTGATGATGTGTTTTACTTGTTTTTCTAAGGGAAATTGAGGGTGGCAAACTGAAGGAATACTTTGAAAAAAATTTCTTTCAACATACATGTATATAGATGTAGGGGCATTAAAACAAGCTTAAGTTCAGGGAAATTTGGGGTAAAGGTTTTACAAGTTTAATAAAAAAAAATCTTATCCCCTGGCATATTTTATAGTGGTAGGGACAATGAATAAAAACCTGTGTCTCGAAACGAGTGTCCCTGCCCGTTTCTTCGCAGAATTCTCATACAACGCGGACTGCGTAGTCGGTACATGGTACAACGTTTGGTGTTCGATGAGTCTTGTTCAAAAGCTAAATCTTTTATTTGTTGTTTGGAGCGGCTCAAAAACCTTTTTTGGGGCGGAGAATCTGTGCCTCCGGGCTCAGCTGACATGTTGAGGCTGATGAGGATCGTATACGAAAAACTAACTGTGTCAGCTCTGCATTTCCGAAGTTCTGAAGGCCTAGCCTGGGCACCGTTACTAGAGTCAGTCAAAACGTAAACATAATCTTAATGCCGCTCGTCACTGGCCGCCAAATTATAGTAAGGATATCGTCCGCAAATGCACTGCTCCCTCACTGCTATACATTATATTGTGGAACGTGAAAGTACTGCGGGGTACCAGTGAGTACAAGTATAGTCTGGTTTAAACGCGGTCCGCGCATAATGGTTGGGACTGTGGGGCGGGGACTAGTCTACATGCATGTGATATCACAATGTGATATACAACGGGAGTGTGCCATGCATATTTATCGCCCAGTCAGGTGATCGTCCTGGGCCAATGAAAATACAGTATAAAGACAGAGGTATGACAAGTTTGGTTATTGAGATCAAATTCTTAAAAAAAACATAATGAAACCATACATATTACAAAAAAAAAGCAAAGTGTGACATATATTTACAGTAACGAAATGGAAGATTTGAGCCAGAGAGATGATCACAATTGGAAACCCTACTGATATTTGTATCACTGCAAAATACATAATAAAGAGTTTGGAGTGGAAAGAAAAACAACACAACAGCCAATGGACCTATTTACAAATAAATTCATTAAGGTTCTGGTGGTTCTGGTGCAATACTGCATAATCTCCTCAGCAGGGATGTAATATGCAGGCGCCAGGCCCATTTATGCAGCACGTGCATAAATGGGCCTGGCGGCAAGAAACGACAGCGGTCCATTGAAAATGTACAGGGGTCCAAAATAATATTCAGTACATTTTCTCTTAATTTCTCCAGGGCTTCAACGTTGCTGAATCACAAGCTGACGCAGCCACGGTGAAGCCCAGCATGATTCAGCACCGCCATTTCGCCCGACATTTGGTGGACAGGTACCCCGGAGCACACGATTATTTTTTTTCCAGTTGTGTGGAAAGTAGCCCTGCTGATTTCCTTCACCCTCGTGCGAACCAAACAAAAGCAATTTTTAAAAATTTTATTCTGTGCCCCCCCTCCCCAGGCCAGAAAGTAATGCCTATGACAATTTTGGGGCCATTTCTAAATTTAAGAACAAACTGCAAATCCTGGAGAGATTGAGAGACAAGTGGTCTGCGGACCGCATGTGTCGCCTTTTTTTCCGCTGTCAGAACTTAGGACTTACAAGTGTCCCCCAAAAGTTCGTTTAGGCGACACAAAAATGACCAGAATATTTTGACATCTGTACATTTTGAATGGACCGCTTTCGCTTCCTGACGCCAGGGCCATTTATGCGCATGCGTGCATAATTATGAAGTTATTACAAAAAGGTCCATAAACAACAACCACAGCAACTACAACAACCACAATAGCTGCTTCGGAATGAGACTTTGAACGGTAACATCCACCCCTATTAACACAATACAAAAGTTAAATTATTTGAAGCCAGACAATAGCTCTGTTCTTGTGTGGCATGGGTTCATTTTGGAAGCAGAATGAGATTGTAAATATTAGAAAGATCATAAAAAATCATGCAATGATGTTATGGTGACGTCATTTCGGATTTTGCATACTAGTACCATTATCTAGCTATCAACCAAGTTTTATGACGATCACACTTTTCCTTGTATGTGTTTTGAAAAGTTGCATTTTTTGATAACGTCATCATGACGTCACACATCTTTCAAAATTTTGTGCAAATACCTATTACCTAACAAACAATTTTTTTTTTTGAATTTTGCATGTTGCGTTCGTGAGATATGGCTTAAAGGTCCAAATTTTGTTTTACAATCATATAAAATCACACGATGACGTCATTATGACGTCACCTCAATTTTTACCTATAACACGTCCCGATCTACCTACATACCGAATTTCAACCCAATCGGACTTACGGTTCTGTAGATATAGGACTTCAAAATATGCACGTTTGTGATGACGTCACGTGACCCATGATGATGTAATCATGACGTCACTCTTCGGGGCTCAACTTTGCTATAAGGACTATGACTATGCTTACTATGAATGATGTATGTAAAAGTGGCACTGAGAAAAACGTGTACAAATTTTATGGGGTTTAGGCGACAAGAAGAAGAAGAAAGAAAAAAATGAGAACAAAAAGAAAGGCTTTTCTGCAACTATGTGGAAAAGCAAATTAAAAATCATTTTCACAAAATGTATTGTTTTTGTACGGAAATTTTAGGGGTATCATTGAAGGTGCTACTACATGGTAAGTGCATTCGGGAGGAATTCCATACATGGACATCACTAATTTTTCTCTGCAGTGACCTTTCAGCTTCAGAAAGCAATAACATGTCCTAAAAAGGAAAATATTGAAGCATTTTACTGAGAAAACACTTGGAATTTTTCAGACCAGTCTCATAGGGTTTGAGCACAGGGTGTCAAGTGATGTCCAGGTATGGAACTCTTTCCTTGCATTTAAGCATGTGGTTACATGCAGGATTCACTGCATGATAGAACAAATTGAATACAGGTTCTTTTCTAGCATTGGTCTTTCCATAATATACACGTTTGGTATAGAAGAAAAACATAAATAATGTTTGTAAAATCAAGACAGCTTTAAAGACTTTTAAAAGGGATATTCCTTTTCTCATGATTTTGCACACCACTTTTTCAAGAGTGGAAGAGGCACACAGACCATCATCCGCAATCGGCTGGCACCCCCCCCCCCCCCCCCCCATGTAGATAGTGATAAGGCCAAGCCAAAAAAAAAAAGTCTCCGGTTTCTGGTATGCGCGCGCGTCGCCGTAGCCATGCGCATCGGCAAAATGAAAAAGTTTTTTTTTTCAATGAAAGATGATGTCTCAAAACTGCCAAACTCACTGGTTTGACTGGAATCCTGCTGCTGCACAATTTTAACGCATTTTTAGATTGGGTTATGGTCGAGAATAAGCTTTATGTGGCCTCTCTGGACTCCCATATATTTGCACTAAGTTTAGTCGGGCACTATTTGCAGTCATCAGCACACATTTGAAGCAAAAAAATCAGGTAAAAAAAATAATAAAAAGCCGCGTCGCCGCACTACTTTTTGGGCAAGCTCCATACCAGAAACCGGAGACTTTTTTTTTTGGGCCTTATGGACTCTTTGCACAAGTACCCTCTCACTTCGTTACAAAGAAAGAGTCGGAGAAGACCACTGGGAGGAACTTGAATACACCGAAAATATAACTGATCATCCGTAAACCAGTGCATGCGTGCAGTGTGTGTCCCTCCCACTGGAATTCTCACAAGTAGTCACAAAAAGCGCCCTCTATTGTTAAATAACAGAGTCCATGGTCCAATATGCAGTGTTGTAGTTGAGTACTTTTATCCAAGTATTAAGTACTGACGTGTACCAAGCTATGGGTACTATTCACATCTGGTAGTTCAGCATCACATCCTGTCGGGCCAACTCCAGCAACATAGGATCATCGAAGAACTTGTTGATACTAACGTCCTCACTCAGACCCTGAAGACGCATGAAAATAAAAGTGCCAATAATAATTATTTAAGGCCCTTTAAATGAATCCTAAATGCCTGTGCCCAATGGCAACCTCTGTGCTCGCTTTGTCAACAATGCAGTGGTAATAAGGCTGGCCTCAGGTCGATTTGCATGCGCTGCGACAGAACTAGCTTTGGTTTGGTCAAGGCTTTCATAGATACTGTCCGTTGATGCTATCTAGTTGCTTACATGTAAACACTAGCAATGCACTATGCACTGTATGTAAGTGCAAACGCGACTACAATATATAAATCACTTGGTGAAGAACGAATGTTTGTTCATTTTGAAGCCTATGGGGTCGCTCTTTGTGCTTTGAAAAGTGTATAGCACGCAGATGTGGCTAGATACTATCACAGACACTATTGACAAATACCTCGACCAAGGCTAGTTCTGTCACAGCGCATGCAAATAGCAGGTTAAACGGAAGCCGGCTTAACTCCACTTGATGAGTATTACTATACAGGGTATCTGCACGTTTCAGAAAGTCAAATTTCAGACTTTTTAAGACCCTTTTAATGCTACCCTGAATGAAATTGAATACTGCGTCTAACCATACTTCAACATGTCACCCAAACTTCGTTTGGCAGGCGAACGACACTATCGAACCTTTAATGAAGATTTCTGCAAGTTACGTCACAAAAGCTGATTTCTCTTTGTGTGTATGTATTTTTCATTTCCATGTATTTATTTTCATGTATTGATTTTCCGTATGACCGTCGCTGATTTTGGACCAAATTCGCATTGATTTCCCACCAAATTTGTACTGATTTTGCAGCAAAATAACATGCGAAAAATGCAGTGAAAATACAGACAAAATTTTGAAATTTTGAGTTTGAAAGTATTTTTGCACATCATGCAGCGGGCTTCACGCTCATTGCCTACAACGGGCTTTAGCCAAGCAGCAAATCTGCTGTTACTCACCAAACTCAATTTGCACTTTCTCATAGTGTAACTTAGGCAAATTTCTAACTCGCCAGCATGCAATATTAAGTTGCAAAGACTGTGGTGTTGTTTTGGCCACCGTCTGTTGCGCGCTGTTCATGAAAGGCGCTTGATGTGCAACTTGATTTTGGATCCTGAGGATGGAACGCTCGGTATATACAATGTGCAGTGTTAGCTTCACGGGAAAATTTGCTACGCACTCCAATTGCCAATTTGTTAATGCGCTGTGAGTTATTTTTTTTACGACCTGACCAATTACATGCCCTTGCCAATCCACGCCCATCCCTGATCTACTGGGGCGACTGGCTTGTTTGATGCCAACCCTCCGGGACCTGGTTGGAGTAGTTCCTGCAGACAACTGCCAGGCCAGCCGTAAGTATACTGTGGGTAAAACCCAGTGATTCTCTGAATGGGCACCCCCCCATCCCATTATAGTGTTTTTAACAATCTCCCAAGATCCAATTTTGGTGAAAGGTATTTTCCTTTCTTTACAAAGTGTCTTTAAGGGAATTTAGAGCCAAAATTTAGATCATTGTCTTGGATTTTACAAATATTTTTTTTGTACTGCAAAAAAGTGACTTATCTTATGCCGACAAAGTTTTGCAACTTAAAACAGCTGAAGCGTGAACAAATGTAAATGATGACAGATTGACCGACCTTTCTCCTTCTGGTCTTGATCATGAACTCTCGAGCGAGATGCATAGCAGGTTGTGGCTCAAGAGGGCGTATCACAATACTCTTATCTAAGGGATCACCAGGAACAATCTGAAATGAAATTGATAAAATTTAGGTGTATAATTGCAAATCAAAATGACCATAATGTGACTCAGTGGACAATTTTGTATTTAAACAAGTTCACAGAGACTATAATGGAAGAGCTTTATTGTTTCATTTTTTGGAATAACTCTAAAAGTGTGCATTTGTTTTTTTAAAACAAGTGATATGTGGATCACATGTGTCGCCTTTGTCTGAGGTCGTTCCCTATCTTTTGGGTTCTTAAAAAAAGTCTAATGATGTGTATTTTTAAACGATCTCAAATGACCCCTAGATGACCTTTAACCTCCAATTTCGAAAGATTTGAACCCCACCAAGGATCACTCCATCCAAGTTACATTAAAATCCATCCAATGGTGTAGACAAAGAAACATTGGAAGCATATTCGAACAATGACCTGTAATGACCCCTAGCAATCTGATGAAGAATTGTCTTCCCACCCAAGGGTCACTGCATCTAAGCTTCAGCAAAATCCATTGAAGCATGTAGAAGTCGTACATGTTTTCAAAATCCATGAAAGCAAGAACAATGTTTCAAACTTTCCCAAAAAACTGTGAATTACATCATTATTAACCTCAGTTGACCTTTGACTTGAAATAATCCTACATTATCTTTGCTACCCATGCTACCCAATGACCCTTGTGTCCAAGTTTTATGGGATTTGGGCGAATATTTAACAAATGAGACAATTCCAAAAACTTTAACACACATACAGGGCTTCGGACGACTTCACTGGACGGACTTGTGGGGTAGGAGCATTGTTGTCCTTTCATCCTTATTTCTAAAGATTTCACTAGTGGGGTATCGTTCCCTTTGTACGAGTACCCCACAGGTGGTCCTGGTCAGTACGGTCAGACAGAATTTAGGACTGGTTAATGTCTCTTAAACTTTGTTTAGGTGACACAATGATACTATGGCACAGATGGCTATTTGTTCGGTAGGGTTCTTTCATTCCTTTTTAATTATGTCTACATATATACATATTCCGTAGCGTTCGGCTTCAACAACCTGGCCTGGCTGTCGCGCAACACTTTGGCGCGCCACCACACTCTATCAAGGACATGAGCGTGTGCGTTGTTACCATGGCATCGTCAGACACGCAGCTCCTCGGAACAGCGTGTGATGTTCCAACTTGGTACGCTCCAACCCGACAGGATTAACCTGGACTTAACGGCGTTTGTTCTAACAGACAACAAGCCATAGTCCCCTGAAGAAGGTGCACCGCACCGAAAGCTCGGGAGTAATTTTCCGGTGAGCACTGTGATAATTTATTACTTCTTGTCACATATGCTCCTTTTTTGTTATATCTACATCTACAGGGCGAGTAAAGAAAAAACGAACCCAAATGTCGGGTCCATTGTTTTAGTGAAGATCTGCATGTAACACTTTCAAAATCTGGGATATGAAAGCCCAATTCATAAGCTTTCTTTTAGTACAAGAATCATTCAGATCACTCACATATTTTTCAAGTTACGGAATTTTAAACACAACCACCGTTTTAAAGTTCTGTCCACCGGTGTGCATTCTTTCAGCAAAACAAACACAATTCACACACATCCCTATGTGATTTGGTTTCGTTTTGATGAAAGAACACTTACCTTCTTGTGATCCGTGGACAGAGCTTTAAAACAGTGGTTGTGTTTAAAATTCCGTAACTTGAAAAGTACATGAGTGATTTGAATGATCCTTGTACTAAAAGAAATCTTATGAATTGGGCTTTCATATCCCACATTTTGAAAGTGTTACATGCACATCTTCACTAAAACAATGATCCCGAAATTAGGGTTTCGCTTTTTTTGACTCACCCTGTACATATATTCAATGGATATGGATAGTTAGTTTTAAGAGCCATCTCATTGAGTTGCACTGAAAAACACCCAAAAAATAGTGTTTGGGAGCTATACTTCCGTAATTCCTTAGCTACATAAGTAGCTAATAAAATTAAAACTAGTGGTTTTCAGTGCATCATGCCAACCACTGGTTGTGAGAAAGACTTGTGGCACTGGAACCTTTGGACATTGGCCAAGAGTTATTATTGAACAGCCCACTGTGCATTCATCTAAAGGCTCTGCACTTAATATTCATTTCTAGGACTTTTTCCCTAAGTAGCCAAAGCCTTGCTTCTTGCAGAGTTTGTGGATCTCACCATCCTCTCCCATGCCATCAAGCCATCTTATCTTGGTTCTTCCACGATTCCTTGAAAATCAACACCACCAAAAAAGTTGGATGACCTTATCCACGGCACCATACAAGTTGACATTCAAGGTCAAATCTATTCAAAGACGAAAACACTGGTCTAATACCTGCAACTCCTATGTCTTTGACTGGTGACACAAAGCTGGAGACAGCAGGAGATGCCCTATCGTCATTTGGATTGCCAATTTTTTACTTGTCTTTTTTTTAAACGGTTCATTTGTTGTCAATACAAAGTCAGTCGTGTAAACTAGTTCCACATGCTTCGACAATCAAGAAATGTTCAAATAATTAGAACTAATTACACATAAGGTAGGTATGTCCTGCCTTCAATTAACTTGAAGCTACTGCTTGATCATTAATATGTCCCAAGCTCTGCCCAATCAAAAATGGACAGACTTGCAGGCAGCAAAACATTAACAACACAAACAAATCAGTTGTCTGCTTGAATGTTTTATCTAGTGTTTAAGCCACAACCAAATTTATAGGTACTGTATAGTCAATGCTGTACCAGAGCTTTCCAAAATATATAAATCACACTTTTACTCAAGTGGGACTCGAACTGACCACCTCCTCACTAGTACAGACGTTCTAACCACTAGACAACCATGCTTGCCCAGGAAGCAAAGATATTTTTCTGCAACCAAATAAAAGTCAATTACCATAATGCATGGAATGCTCCTCAGACTTTACCTCCCTTTAAAAAAAAAGATCCATGAATCGAAACAAATTGTGCAATTTAGCTATTTTATTTCCAGGATTCAAACCTTCAACCTGCAGTATTTGGACTCCCAACTTAGCATGACAGTGAATGTAATGCCACGCTTACCACTGTCAAATCTAAACTATATGATATATATTAAGGGCTAATGTAAGGTGTTTTTTTTTTTTCCTTGAAAAAGCACCCGTGTCCCATTTTTAACATTATTTTCCATTTGCATTTAACCATTATTATGGGCATTTTGGTGCCTTTTTGGTTTTATGTTAAAGATATAGTCCGTCATTTGTAATTTGTGCATTTTGTTCGTTTGAAGCAACAAAAGTGTTCAAAATCTAATGAGGGATACTGAACAACTAACCTGATGAAGTTTCAGCTAAGCTTCAGCTGTGTATTCCGAGAAAAACAGCATTCTAGGATCTCAATTCCAAATCAAAAGTTACTGAATCATGTTTTGAATTGTTTTGAATTGCAGCTATACGCGACGTCGCGCACTGATCCGACGAATTATAGCAACCGCGCGCGCGTCGTGCCAATGCTTGCGCGCGCTTCGCCGAATAACAAAACGAACTACTAATTTAAATTTTCCTACGGTGCATCTTAAGACGCACCGTTGGAAAGGCCTTCTTTCGTTGATTACTTCAAAATGACAGCTTCCCAGAAAGAATAACTTCACAGGGAGTTTAGTTCCCTTACTATCTTTCAACCAAGTTTGCTTTTCAACAATAATTATGCAAGTTATTTTTTGGATGGCTGCAAATGATGGACTATAGCTTAAATGGCATTTCCATATTCATGAGCAATTGTGTGATGTCATTTCAGGCAGCAACCTCAATGTTACAACTATTTCAGCACCAAAATTTGTCAAAATTTTTGATATTTTGCTGTCGTATATTTTCCTTTCTTTGTTAATTCGTTGTTGTTGTTTCGGTACGTGACATTAAGCCAATGAGCAAAGTTTTCTCACAAATGTTGTCCATGAGCAAATTTTGGGCTCACAATTTGAACAGGAAACCCTTAACTGAATAATATCTTCCTGAAATGACATCACAGCGACAGCGCCCTCATTTGTCAGGAAAAGCATGGAAACTATTATCGTAAAAAAAAATGCACTTTTCAATAAAATTAACCAAAAGGGGTTTCAATTAGTTTTCATACACTTAAGAGGAGCAGAAAGTTGCACAAAATATGTTCCCAAGTAAGATTCATGTCATGTTTCACACATGCGTATTAAGGTAAATGACTTTACTAGCTTGCAGAAGAAAAAACTGCACCAAGGAAGGCTAGCTGGTCGCCTGATGGTGGTGTGATATTGTCTTTTAGTTTTTGGGACGTAAAACTAGCATTATATTTTACAGACCCTTTTATAACATGCCATACCTGCCAGTGATGAAACACAGACAGACAGAATGCCTGCCCCTGGGTGTGTGTTCTTAGGTCGGTTTCAAACCCAAAAGAATCAATTGCTGGAATGAAGGCTTTGATGGTGTATAGCGGTGATCCTGGCACAGGTGCATCTTGGGTAACGTGACCTCTGTGAAAAAGTGAATATATAAATTCCAGGCATGAAACCTACAATATATGAACTTCTGAACTGGGAAAAAGGCTGACAACTAAAACACACATTGATAAACAATTGTATGATCAAACCTATTAGAATTTATGTATTTGGTGTCACAAACATGGGCTGTAAATTCCCAATCACACAGAAGCTGCTAAAACCTAGTTTCTGTATCGACATAAGATATGCAGAGAACATAGCAGACAAGATCCACAATGCAGATATAAACATGTGGATACATTTTATCACTAACAACCCTAACTAACAGAAACAATCTTGTATTTCATGCATTACACTGATTTGTATTTAAACAGGTTGAACTTTGATAATGTATCAAGTTGCTAAAATAGGACCATAGAGAATACAGAGATTCTGTCAAGCTGCGCGTTTAATGATGTCTACATGGATTAGTACCATGAATTTACCGACATTTTATTATTTTGATCATTAAATAAAACCACAAATTTCAATATTGATGTTTGCCATAATCAAATTACAATGTACATGTATGTTGAAGTATTAGTACACGTATAGCTTTTAAGGAAAGTTGTGCAGTTTGAGGGTCAGAGAGAGCCCAGAGCAAGTATGCTTTGTGTTTTAAGTGGGCAAAGTAGCACTCTGATGGCCTGGTTGCTTGAAGAATAAGGAGTGAGGGGCTCGCCTACAGGAACAAGTTTCACTCTGTTTACGAGGCCTGTTTATGGTGCAAAATGGTCTTTGAGACAGCATCATTTTTAAATTGAATCTAAAAATGTTTATTTGGAACAAAAGCTAAATTGCATACATGTAGGCACTTCACACTAAGCTACCGGTAAAGTGGTATGCCCTGGATTCCCTGGAACCCACTCTCCACATCATGGTCTCTGATAGTGTGGCCTTTCCATGGACCCAATATTCTGTGCTATAGTGGCATACATTAAGTTTGAGCAGACTCTCAAAACATGAGAGGTTTGTTCTGATGGCTCAGCATTAGTTAAAAAAAACACCTAAATTACAGCTGGACTTAAGAGGAAACATCAAATTCCTGATCTAGGGGATCAGTATGCACTGTAATAGTATCAGAATAATGTCAGATGAAAACTTTTATCTTGGAGTACTTGCCATTGGAGATCCAAAATGCAAATTTAACTCGAGAGTTTTTTAGTAGTTCTGATGCCTATTGGGTAGAAAAATACTAATTATGATAATTTAATAAAAAAAAACATCATGCCATAACATTCTGAGATGGGTCGGACAAAATGTAACGTGAGTAACCGTAACGTGAGTAACCATGTTTTTTTGTGGATTGCAAAAAAATGGGAGAGTCTAGAGGCTTTGTTTTACTCTTATTATGTGTGCCCCATGGCATGGTCTTTTATCCATTTAAAAGAAAATTCCACAGGTTGCCTGTATAAGGACACTTTTTGATCAAAGCATGTTTGCTTTTTATGCATGTCCAAAAATGTAACGTGAGTAACCGATTTTGTGCGTCTTGATTATCATACATAACACATTTTTCTGGATGTCATCTTTGGTGCTTAGGTAGGTCTAGGTCTACTCTATCTACCATGTAGACAAAACCTATGGGGAAAATGTGCATCTTTAATGTCATGTAACGTGACAACTGATGACGTCACGATCACGAATTTCTTCTAGGACCATCTGTGGGTGGTGATGTAAGTATGTACCAAGTCTGAAGTCGATTAGATTTACGAAGGTGCCAAAGTGAACGTGTTTTAAAACGTGCACAAAACATATGGGGGAAAACGCATCTTTAATGTGACGTAACCCGATTACCTGATGACGTCACAATCACGAATTTCTTCTAGGACCATCTGTGGGTGGTGGTCTAAGTATGTACTAAGCAGTGGTGTAGCCAGGAATTTTTCGTTTGGGGGGGGGGGGGGGGGGGGGGGGGCGCGGGGGGGCTGGAACATTTCATGGGGGGCGTCATGTGGATCAATGATAATTTTTTTAGAAACTCAAAAATCTCAGTGGGGGGGGGGGGGCGACTGGGGGGGCGACAAGGTTTCATGGAGGTTTCAAAGTGGACTGGTAGAAGAAAAATGTGTACAAAAGATATGGGGGAATGACTGAAAGAGGAGAAAAAAAAACTAGAGATCTATGTCTGTTTGCAACATAACATAGGGCTTTTCCGCAATATGCTTTTTGTTTTTATCAATAAAATGTGCCAGAATATGCATGTACAACGTTTCAAATTATACAGTAGAATTTTTTAATTAAAAAAGAAATAATTAATATTAAATCAGATGTATCGGCCTCCCTTCATATGCAATTTTGAACCATTCGGACTGATAGTTTTGTCACTATGAAAAATGCACCATTATGATGACGTCATTTTGATAACACTTGTCAATGCACATTTTTTGCATTGTGGTCTTGGTTTGCACAATTTGAAGTCAATCCAATGAAAGGAAGTGTTAAATTTTGGAAGGGAATGAAATTGTAACTTGTAAAAAAAATCCTACAAAATCATGCGATGACGTCATGGTGACATCATTTCAGATTTTGCATTCTAGTACCATTATCTAGCTATCCACCAAGTTTCATGATGAGCGGATTTTCCCTCATGTGTGTTTAAAAAAAAAAAAAAAAAAAAAAAAAAAATCGCATTTTTGATGACGTCATGATTACATCACACATTTTTCAAAATTTTGTACATATACCTGTTACCTAACAAACATAATACCAAAAGAATTTTGAATTTGGACTTGCGTTCGTGAGATATGGCTTAAAGGTCCAAACATTCAAAAAATCATATAAAATCGCACGATGACGTCATCATGACGGCACCTCAAATTTTACCTATAGCACATCCCGGTCTACCCACATACCGAGTTACAACCCAATCGGACTTACAGTTCTGTAGATATAGGACTTCAAAATATGCACGTTTATGATGACGTCACGTGACCCAGGATGACGTCATCATGACGTCACACTTCGGGGCACATCTCTGCTATAAGGACTATGACTATGCTTACGTTGAATGATGTATGACAAAGATTAATGGCAAAATGAGAAAAAACGTGTACAAAATCTATAGGATTTAGGCGACAAAAGGAAGAAAAAGAAGAAGAAAGAAAAACAAGTCAGGTGTGTTTACAAACACAAATGCCCCGCAACCGTGACTGTTCCCATGACATAACACCACTCTTTTAACATCAACTTACATGTACCTTGGTCACATGGAACGTTCATTGACAGCATTAGTGTCTTCTGTAGGTTTTATATGAATTAATCCCTAATCCCTATGATCTCAGAATAAATACAAGATTTATATTGTTTTAGCCACTGTGACCTTGACCCTTCGACCCCCAGAGCGATAGGCCTATTTGGATTACCAAGAACGATCCACAAACCAAATTTGAAGTTCACATGTAAAGTATTTCTCAAGTCATCGCGCTGACAAAATTTCTATTGTTTCAGCCACTGTGACCTTGACCCTTGACCTTTCGGCCCCAAATGCAATAGGCTTCTTAGGATTACCAAGAACAATACACAAACCAAATTTGAAGTTCATATGTAAAGTATTTCTCAAGTTATCGCGCTGACAAAATTTCTTTTGTTTTAGTCACTGTGACCTTGACCCTTGACCTTTCAGCCCCAAATGCAATAGGTTTCTTAGGATTACCAAGACCAATACACAAACCAAATTTGAAGTTCATATGTTAAGTATTTCTCAAGTTATCGCGCTGACAAGATTTGTCCGGACACACACACTCACACCCACACCCAGTCGTTTTTTGCTATGCTCCCGACGATTGGCTTTGTGTTTTCCTTTGTTCCCTGATCTAAACCTTTTCCATAGACTTAGTGCACAAACCGGCGTTCGAGGACAATAGGCACCGTTGTTTGAGGATGAATGGCCCCTTTGTGCTCCTTTTGTTGTCTGTCCTCAAGCGTAATACAATACAGGAACACACACATACTCACCCACACCCACTCATCTGTGCAAGGTATTTGTGGGGACCAAAAATGCTATGGGGACAGCAGAAAGTCCCCATAACTCGGTCCTAATTTGCCTAACAATAAAAAACTTCCCCATAACGCGGTCTATGCCTACCCACCTACCCACCCACGGAAGGACAAGGCGGAAACAGTATGCCCCTTCAGCTTCGCTGCGCGGCATAAAAAGATGAGAATAGAAAGAAAGGCTTTTCCGCTTTTTTGCGGAAAAGCCAAAAAATGAGAAAAAAAATCTTAACGAAAACAAGAGCTGTTTCGGTGTGTACACCGAAACAGCTTAAAATTTAAATAGTTTGGTGAACAACTAAGAACAAGTGACTCATGACTCGGACTCGATGCTTGTGACTTGAGACTCGGACTGGAGGCTTGTGACTCGCGACTCGGACTTGGTCTCGAGGCTTGGTCACTCAACTACAACACTGGGTAGGTTCACCAAAAAAGTCCAATGGAAACACAGCTTAATACTCCTACAATGCATAAGTGCACAAAGACTTCTAGATGCTGCATGCTGCAATATGATTCCCTCACAACATGCTGCACAAAGACTCCTACAGCATTTACAGCTCATCTGTGAAATTCCATTCCATCCGATTTTGATATTTTCTACGTCATGCACATTCATTCCAAATGTCTACGTGAGGGTATGAGTTGGTGCTCTAGTATTTTCATATAGTTCTTTGACTTTAAAGCCAAGGTCCCTGCTCCCATCTTAATATCTGCACCAATTATGTACGGACAACTCATCAGTAACTGAAAATGTATGCTATATGATCATTAGACTTGTCAGAGCACTCTTATCCCAATACACACCATGACATTTTGGCTTGTAACCTGGGCTTAGACAGCCAAAGCTTCTGGTAAAGCATACCTTCTTCTGGCCAGCACAGTGTAGACAGCAGACACGCAGTCAGCTGGGGCTTGCACTTCCACAAAGTAGTATGGCTCCATTAAACGGGGAGTGGCCTGGTCATACAACACACATATTCAAGGCATTATGCACAGCAGAGGCAGAGGCCTTAGGTTTACTGGCAGAGATCTACGTATTAGACTTCTTAATAGAATAGATTGTGATGCATTTTACTTCCAGCAATAAAACCCTCTGGAAAATCTGTACTTTCTGTTCAGATCATTTTTATTAACCCTCCTATGGTAACATGCATTGTCAGCCTGCTTATTACTTGGGTCAATATTGGTCAAGACCCCCATTGGTTTGTACACAGTAGGCCAGGAGGTGAGGAAGAAAATTTTGACCATTGCTGACCTCTTAAGCAAAGGAAGGGTTAAATAAAGAAAAAAGAGTATGAGGTTAATTGCAGGTTTTTAGAGTTTAATGTGGCTTTTATAGGGTTTCGAATTTTTACCCCGTTATACATGAAGACAAACTGACCTAAATACAGAAAAAGGTAAACAAGGTGTATGTGCATTGGGAAAAATAGAATTCTCCAAAATTAAATAAATGAATTAAAGCATCAGCATACTTACATCATCATGAATGTCAATCAGTGGCATATCCAGGGGGAGGGGGCAGAGGGCGCACTCTGCCTCCCCCCTCCCCCTTTGGTAGATTTTTTTCACAACATTTTTTGTTCAGCAATTATTTCAATAAATGATTAGAGAGTTCTGACATCAATACCCCCCCCCCAAAAAAAACCCGCTCAAAAACAACCACAATGCACCGTGAAAATGCACTATGCATAATAATGGTCAGTTTTGAAGAGCGCCATCATTTGGAAGGCGGGTATTTAATAGGTAAAATACCTTAACAGTAAAATCTCAGGAATTCCAGATTTCAAAAAAAAAAAAAAAAAAAAATCCTGACATTCCGAAACCAGGAACAATCCTGACAAATGTCACCTTTGGGATAGTCAGAGATACTATACCAGTAGATGTTCTAGTTTGCTGAGGAACCGGAACCAAACCACTGTCCTGGAAAAAATTCTAAGCATGAGCAAATCAAACCCAACCTAAGCTTTTGGGTTGACTTGAAAACTAAATATAACATGCATTAAAAAAGAAAAATTCCTGCAGAGCAGCATAACTATTAAAAAAAAACCTCATTCAAGCTAACTGCAGTGCCACTAACCATGAGGAAGGCAGAGTAAGCTACACGTCTGGCTGTGGGAATAATCTGGCCACCTCCTCTATGGATTGGCTCCCCAGCTATGACTGCATCAAGGATCTTGAACTTTACATTCCGAATGGCTGCAGGTCAGACAAAAATTGTTATTAACAGAAATACCCATGTAAAAATGCACTCTAGTTTTGGAAGCAAACATTGTGTTGTGTTTACTACACAGAAAGTAAACCTCAGAAGTGGTGTACATTGTTGATTCAAAGCCTAATGTAATGGGTTGTGATGATTTTGTTTACTTAAATTCTGTTTCATCTGCTCAGCCATTTTGTACTAAATAGCACATACATGTACGATAATATAGGCGTAATCTAAACTTAAAAAAAAGTGTTTTGAAGCATGACCATCAACAAGTTTTGCCACGGTATGAAATCAGTAACTATCCATGGTAATTTTGCATTGTCCACACACTTACGTTCATCACACAGTGGTCCTTCTCGTGTTCCCCACTGAAATCCTTGTACAATGCTGTCCTTTACAGAATTAAGCAATGCCTTGTCAACCTTAAATAAACAAGACATTGTGATTACAAAAGTGCAGACACAAATGGACTATGAAAGGGTCAGTAGTTATTTGCTAAAATACCATTTCAATACCCATGTGGCATGCATCATGGCTTTCTTAATAGCCCATCCATACATCAGGCATGCAACTGGGAATTTAGACAAAACAAGGAAAATCCAAATTACACAAGACTTTGTACAGTGTTTTTCAATTGGTAATGGTATTCATGAGAAGTGAAAAAAGAGGAAATCAGCAGATCCGAGGAAAAGTTGCATGCCTGATACATAGACTAGTGTCAGATGTATATCTTCATCCAGATAGGTTTTGTAAGTTCAAAATGGTGCCCCTACAGTGATGATCAATATGACTCAAGCTGCAGGTTGCCTTTAAAGGGAACAAACAACATTTGCTTTTGCTGTAATTTTCAGAAATTGATGGATTGGGTGTTAGTATTTTAAAACAAATATTGTTACACTGACTTGTTTGTGGTTTTGTGTTCGTAGATGCTGGGAAAAACAAGAAACATAATCATGTTCTTGAAGTCTGGTTCCCTGAACCACTTAACGCGACACGAAGCAATTTAAAGACCTCGAGGAATTGTAAGGTCAGGGAACCAGTCTAGCTGGCTTGTACCAGAGATGCCAACTTTTGAATCCTGTTGTCAGGGAGGATAAGTACAGTGCGCAATGAGCAACCATATATAGAGAGAGGGTGTGTCTTGAAGGAGAATGTACAGTACTACATGTACAATAGAATTGTAAAATAACTTAGTGATTAATAATAATATTAGAAAAGTTAACATTTTTTGAAAATTGCTTGAAAAGTGCAGTTCTGCCCTTGTGATGTCATTAGACTTGATGACAAGTTGTTAGACTATAGTGGTTTATGTCCGTCATCAGCGCCAGAATCCGCATACCGCCGCCATTCATGCAACGTGAACGCTACAACCATTCATGCAAAAGTCATGTACTACCGCGCGGCATAGTCAGTCTGTGTCTAACGACTTGACTATAGACGTTTTCAAGCAAATATTCATATATGCAGCCACTGCAATGCATATGCATGACATTTCCATAGCGACGGCCAATGGTAGCCCATCTGGCTTACGAAGAAACATCCATTATAAATATAGGGGTAATTATCCAGAGTTGTAATGACTCGAGTCAATGACTCGACTCGAGTCCGACTCGAGTCACATTTTTTGGTGACTCGACTCGACTCGAGTCCTGACAGGTAAATGACTCGACTCGACTTGAGTCACTGCGAGCAAATGACTCGACTCGACTCGAGTCCCTCATCAGAATGACTCGACTTGACTCGAGGAAGGCTAATAAGACTCGAGTCCCAAAAATAAAAGCAAAACTTACTTGCGAAAAATATTTGCAATGACTTACGCCGCGCCGTTCACGTTGCCAGTTTTTGTTCACGTCACGTTATGTTCGCGAATTATGTACGTTCATATACAGCGGCCGTCTGTTTTCCTTCCTCCATAATGATACAACAAACATACACCGTGTCGCGGACTCCCACCTTGTGGTTCTATAGCATGTAATGCTAAACCCGGAACCAGACTTAAAACGCATTTCTCAATCCGTGGTTTCATCATTGGTTTCGGGCGATTTCTTATAAAGCTCTTGGTGGAACGCTGGCTAAATTTATGTCCCGATTTCACACACAAAAATAATGGATACGGATGGGACCACCTTTAAATAATCACAAACAGTTTTGTATAATGTAATTAGGTTTTGACGTTGTCAACGATCAGCAAAATCTAGACCCGAAGCCAAAACAGTTATAAGACCGAAGTTTCACATCTTCTTATCTGTGACGTGAGCTAGCAATGGAAACTGTTGGTTGGGTACCAAACAGCATACTTTATGTCTTTGGATTTTTGTAATAGACTGGTGCCTTGTATTCTTTCTCTCTTGTGTTTGTTGCTTTTTATTGTAATTTATTATATAGTGTTCAAATATATGTGACTCGAATTGACTCGAGCTAAATACTTGACTCGACTCGACTCGACTCGACCACACACTGTGACTCGACTCGACTCGACTCGACCTTGTTGACCTAATGACTCGACTCGACTCGAGTCACTTCTTTAAAATGACTCGACTCGACTCGAGTCACAAAAATCAGTGACTCATTACAACTCTGTAATTATCACACGATCATTTGAAGTTTCCATTTGATTTGGCAGTCCTATTTTTAAAATTACAGTAAAAAAGAGTATAACATTGTAGATAATATTAGTACTTTTGCAACTGTCTTTGAATAAAAAGGAGTAATATTTAAGTAATTATGGAATTTGAAACTGTTACGAATAATTGTAAATCCCCTTCAAAAAATGAAGTGCGCACCGACTGTAAACGTAAGCTCCTTTTGGCCCATGTGGTTTGTTGTAGTTTAACTAATCACCCTGAAAACGAACTCGTTCGCGGTTTCTCTATTTTTACATTTGTAATTGTGACCATAATGTCATGTTTCAAGACAATTTTGTGCAAGTAAAAATAAAAAAAGTTCTCAGACCCTTTATGAAGTCGATACAGAAAGGGGCTAGCTTGTTTATCAGGGATTTCCCGTACCCGGTCGGTAGATTCACGAAGGTGTCGTTGCCGTTAAGAAAACTTGTGATTGCCTCAGTTTGTTGGGGTTTCAGAGCACTGGAAATCCCCAGTTTTCGCAACCCATGGTCAATGGAACCTCTATACCTTTCGGTGCTAGCTTCCAACACCTCCATTTTAACGTTGGGTGATAGGAAATCCGAAGAAATTTGATGTAAGCGATTGAGAATGTTTTGTGAAGACTACACTAACATGCCGCGATAATCAGGTTTGTATGTAAACTTGTGTGTGTCGTCGTGCAAGCCAAACTCATCAGCTAAGAGATGCCTGTTGAATATTCATATTTTTTTGATTCTTAACCAATCAGACTGCTCCGTCCAATTTTGGTAGCAAGTCTCAATGCCTATGCACAAACTGACAACGAGTTATTCAAGTCTGTAATGCACAGAGCACACGCATGGGGTCGAAAATGGGAGCACACGCATGGGGTCGAAAATGTACGTAGCGTCCCCGCTACTAGGACAGCATGCAGTACGTCGTACCCCCGGCACAGAGCTTGGCAGTCGCGCGCGGCGGACGCGATTAAAACCACTCATTACAGACTTGATTTCAAGTCTATGATGTCATCATCTTCACTGCCTTTTTTTTTTTTGCTTCCACAGTAGTCTCCGTCATGTTGCACGTTAAACAGAGTTGCTTGCATGCATAATGCACTGCAAAACAACGCACATGTACATGTACATAACACACGACCAAATACACACCGAAATCAAAGCGAATCTTTGGGACTTGACTAAAGGATACCTTGTCCCCTGTTTGTCGCTCGTTTTGCTGGTGCACTGTATCCGTGTTTCACGTACAAGGTTATTTTGCAGAAATTTAGGTTTTGACAAGGTACGAAAAATGTTTCCAGTACAATTGGAATTATGAAACAATTGGAGCCAGACTACTGTGCTTGCCTAATGCCACCTCGTCCCCTGTTTGTCGCTCGTTTTGCTGGGCACAGTATTCGTGTTTCACATACAAGGTTATTTTGCAGAAATTTAGGTTGTGACAAGGTACGATCAGATTTTTTTTTAATTTGACAAAAATGTTTCCAGTGCACTTGGAATTATATAAAACCTACATGTTTTCAGTTTTAAAGATAGTTTTAAATTTAGAAAAGTGGAGACAATGTATTTCTGTTATCTTTATTTAGACTCAGACAGTGGCAGTTGAACAACAGGAATTTCTTGCGGTAAGGCCAAAAAGAAAAAAAGTCGGTCTCTGGTCAGCGCGCGCGTCGATTTTAATCATGCGCGTCAATCTTTTTTTTTTCCAAAATGTTCCGCGGTAGCTCCAACAGTGCCCTCTATTGTCGCACCTCCTCAATTTTTTTTTTACCAAAGAGCACCAAGGAATGGGAAATTGCACCAAGGCAAATGATCGAGAGCACCAAGGCAAATTATGGAGGACACCAATGTACATGAGGACACCAAATAGCAAAATAGTACCCCACCTTGTCTGTACAATCCAAGCTTGAAGAAAAAGAAAAAAAGCCGCGTCCCCGCGTCAATTCGGGAACTTTGGTCTGACCAGAGAGCGAATATATTTTTTTTTTGGCCTAATGCAGGGTTTTTTTTTTAGATGTGTCTGGGAGATCAACCAATTTCCAGGAGTCTTCTTCAAAATCTGGGAGAGTTGGCAGCTCTGCATGTTATATCACTGCTATACTATAAGGGGTGTATGTGTGTACATACAGACAAAAGTACCCTTTGAGGTGTACAAAACAGGTTCATCCTAAACATTCAAGTATAAGAGACACAAAAGGGTGTCCATGTTTGAAGCACACGTGTGTGTGCTCATTTTAAAAATATTTTTTATGAGAGGGTCATTGTGGGATACTCACACAAATCAAAGATTTTAAAATCAGGTGATCCTAATTTGTCAAACTGAATAATGGTTATCTGAATTCACCAGAAGTTCCAATTCAGCCCACATCTTTGCACACAAAAAATGACAAGTTAAACTGCCACATGGGCCCTTATCAATTAGGTTTTGATATGAAAAAAAAAACCAGCCCGCTTTTTTTTAGCTGTTAAAGCAGAGGAACAGAGCATCAAGAAAATCTCAGTAAGAACGAGCATGGTGAATAAGAAAAAGTCATTTCAAAACTGCTAACAGGGTGGCCAAAAACATTTGTTGCGTACAAACCAGCTCATATTGAGTGCATTTTCTCTCACAGAAATGTGCAAATTTTGATCAGGACTGAAAAAACATACTGGTGTAACAGTGATCTTGTCCAAACTGTGCTCGTACACATATTAGTTGTGTTGTTAAATGCATGCACAATGGGAGACTTTTCAGATGCTTGCTGGCAGCAAACACAATGGTCCTTTTCAACTCTTTTCAAAATCTATCAGGTACAGGTTTGAACAGTTCTGCAATTGGGTTCATACTGATACAATGGACCGGCTGTGGTAGTTTGGTTAGCTGAGGGTACTGTGCCTTGACAGACATTGATAGGTATGGTGGGCCAACACTGGCGAGTGCCTGCCAATGATGGATTTAGTTTAGTAACGATGACAGCACAAAAGGTTTACTCATGCATATCCCAGCAAAACGAAGGCATTGCCCTCGAAGATGGTTGCAGTATCCAAGGCCACCCTATCTATCAAGCCCCTTCAACAGGTTTTGCCAGTTATGTGGTTTAATCCATAGGGGTTCTGGCAGTTGGTGACCAGCCTTTACATATGCTATATGAGAAAGGAAGTGGGTAGATTTGTTAACGGTTTGTGACATTTGCATCAGTAGGAGAGTTCAACTGGGAAGGAAATTTGCAGACACATTGCTGACATGCTCAAGCGAGGACACAACAGGTGTTTACACTTCAGAATAAGGTGTGCACATTTTGCACCATGTGCCTGCTAACAGCTATGCGTATGCCATGTGTCCTTTCCACTGGGGCTCACAAAAGTGGACCTAAAGCACCATCTACTATTGTAAACAGAGTCCATATTATATTAAAACCAAGCTACAAAAGATATCCATGGGTTGTTTCAATGGGATGGACAATTCTATACTTGACCTCACCTCAGATGGAAGGGTATCATCAACTAGGATGTTAGGACCTGTAGTATCAGGTCCAAAAGCCCAAATGGAACGAGCAGCCAGTAAATCCCAGTCATACTTGGTCTGGAAAAACTCTCCCAATCTCTTCCTGGAAAAAAAAAGGAAATCAAAGAATAGAAGACAATCATTCAAAAAAGCAATGAGCGACATGGGGAACATGTCCTAAATGCAGTGGGTACTATACTTTTACAATCAATCATTCTTAATCTTTGCAATGTCCTGACAATTCTTTAAAAAAAAACACAGGGGATTCCAATACAACAGAAAATTAACGAGTAAAGGTTCCAGAATTTGCAATAAGTTTGTTCATTTTCTTTTTAAGAAATACACCCCCAAATAGGCCGTTTTAAAATTGTAACTGGTATATCAATTTATGGAAACTGATAAATCGCCTGACTTCAAAGTGAAATATGTAGCCAAAAGTTGACCTCTCCTTTTTAAAAATCAAAAATATATTCCGATTCATGCCAGTTACAGATGCACATGCCAAAATCGCCAGAATTTCTGAAATTTGTGGTAGTGATTGGATAAAAAAATTGAAAGTGAGAAGAACACACCCCCCATCTGCTGTAAATAGGTAAATCTTCACACTGTCATACATTTCATGTTTCACGCAACTAAAGTGAAATGGAAACAGAAGTGCACAGCATATTACAAAGAAACGACGATGCTGGATGTGAAAGGTCATTAATGAAATTCATTTTAGCCATCTCCAAGTGCAGGGGACTTTTCCCCTCAAAAATACTTGTAAGAATACCAAGAAAAAATTCCAACATGATTTTTCTTTGGGTTTTACAGTTAGAGAAAGCATTCTGCCTTTCCCGTGTGCCTTTTGTTCAGAGATGAAACTGGCATATGGCAACAAAATTGGAAAATACATCGAACAAAAAAAAGTGTCCGAAATCTGGGCCGCGCTGCAGTTACACACATGTACATGCATGTACAATACACTTCATGCCCAATTTCCGGACACCAACTCCTGCTTAATTATTTTCGATACAACAAATTTTACGATGAAAAAAAATGGACAGTGTTTTCATTGAATAAAACGCCTGAATTACGGTTAGAGTTAAGGAGTCATCAACAAAGAAGTTCACTTTTTACTTTAAAGTCAAGGAACAAGTCCGAAAGACAAGGGCACCGTTCATGGTGCTTCAATCATGTCCATGATTCAACCGTACCACACAATTTACTACTCCACTTGCATTTGTACATGGGGGAAAATCAGGCATTATCGTCTTTCTCTTCCAACAAATGCCAGTGAAATGTTTCGCTAATGCTCTCTTCGCTATCTTCGAGATAATCATCATGATTTTTAAAGCAATGAATATTGTAAAACTTAGTCTGAAACCTCCAAAAATCGCACAACATAATGATTTTATCCACTGGATCGTTCACGAGGCTACCCGTTCCCGACCGGCCATGTGCTATGCGCTAGCGCGGACGGTGCGGTACGTACGCTGGTACCATTGCATACATCTTTGTACATATGCATGCACGTGCGACACAGTGATTTTTCCATGTCACCTGTCAATGTTTAACCTTTTGTCCAGCCGGAAAAGGCTCTGATCAGTGTTATGGCCTGTGTTTCTATCCAGAGATGAAACTGGCATATGGCAAAAATATCGGAAAATAGGCCGAACAAAAATACGTGTCCGAAATCTGGGCCGCGCTGCAGTTACACACATGTACAGTCGGCTCCCGTTATAACGAGGTCCGATGGACTTTCACAATACTGTCGTTATAGCCGGAACCTCGCTAAAACCGGAGCGCAGTTTTCCCCATTCGTTGTGCACAAGGTACGGTACATGTGCGTGCGTGTTTTAATCGTGTAACGCACGTCCGAAGACATGAAAAGATGGTCATTTGTTGGTATGTACGTCTGTTATTAATGTATATTTAATATTTAACTGATGGTGATGAATAAATGAAATAAATAAAATACCTTTAAGGGAACATTGTTCAATATTTGAGGACCTGAATCCGGAGGAAAAGGCATCATCGCTGAGAAGAATCAGGCAAGTAGGTCACTAGCACAAATCGTGCCGAGTGACATTTTGCTTTCATTCTGCATTTGCTGGAATCGGGCAAGAGAGGGCGCCAATACATGCATTACTTCCGGGTTTTAATGACTCCTGATCCTTAGCCTAGATGCCTTTTGGTTGTTGACTTTTTGGAACAGTTGGGTATTATTGTTTCTGAAGGGATTCTTTGAAATTGTAATTATTTCGGTTAACTATAGCGCACATTCGTGCCAAGTGACATTTTGCTTTCGTTTTGCATTTGCTGGAATCAGGCAAGAGAGGGCGCTAATATTACTTCCGGGTTTAAGTGTCTCCATGTGTAATTTCACAGCAATTGGTGATTACTGTTTGTCGGGAGGGATTCTTTTAAGTTAATAATAATAAATAAACAAAAGTAATAATTTCGGATTAACATTTGTACAATGTATATGTGGTGGGGCGTTTGAAGATCTTGGAAACCTGTTTTCATTGGGATTGTTTTTTCGGCGGGGCCGGAGGGGTTCTTAATTTGTTTAAGATTTTTATTTTTTTATTCTTCGGATTAACCTTTTTTTGGGGCGGGAACCACGGTATGTTTTAAACTTTATTTTTTCAAGACAGACTGAATTATCTCTTTTTGGAAGTTGTGGTGGCTCTGAAAAGAGCCGTTTGTTTTGTGATGCTGTGTGCCTTACTACGTATTTTTTTTTATAGCCACAAGCCAACAATAGGGAGCAATTAAGCACCCGATGTTCGGGCGGTAGTACTAAAGGCTATTCCTTACAATGTTAACACTTAACTCCTGAGCGCCCCCTATTGTTAGTTTGTAATAATCTAGAAACGTGGTACCACAGTCGTAAGCAAACTTCAAACCTGGTCACGCTAAAGGGAAACCGCAGCGGGGGATTAGCGACTAGACCAGCGGTCCACTGCGCCGATTATCACAGTCCCATTGAATTTATTTGAGAAGATCGGCGAGATGAAATAACGTTGGGTTGAAGTCTTTACAAAGGTACATTGATGGGTGAAGCTTAAGTGTGTTGCTTGAATTGGAAGACGGGAGCATGATACCCGTTTCGGGACAAAAGGTCTGTCGTTGACAAGCTGCAATGCCCGTAGTTTTGAAAAGATGTCGTTGTAAATGGGTTGAGAACAATGCTTTTCCTCGCATTGGGTCAGCCAAAATCGTCGCAAAATTCAGGCATTATCGTCTTTCTCTTCCAACAAATGCTAGTGAAATGTTTCGCTAATGCTCTCTTCGCTATCCTCGAGATAATCGTCATGATTTTTAAAGCATTGCATTTTGTACAACTAAATCTGAAACCTCCAAATCGCACAACATAATGATTTTATCCACTGGATCATTCACGAGGCTACCCATTCCCGACCGGCCATGTGCTAGCGGACGGTGCAGTACGTACACTGGTACCATTGCATATCATCTTTGTACATAGATGCATGCACCTGCGATACAGTGATTTTACCATGTCACCTGTCAATGTTTAAGCTTTTGTCCAGCCGGAAAAGGCTCCGATCATTGTTATGGCCTGTGTTTCTACCGTTGAAAGAGATTAAAACTACGTTCGTGATGATTTTAACGTGCCATTTCCATCGACTTTTCATTGACTTTTCTTCGAAATTATGATTGAAATAAAATGACATTTTGTGAAAAAATCGTTATAAAATCAGAAATTTCGTTGGGAAATTCAAAAAATCGGATTTCCGATTAAAATTGGAAAAGTTTCATCTTTGTTTGTTTGGGAGGGGGGTTGACAAAACATCATAAGTCTTTTAATTTTAAATACAAGTCAACCCCCCCCCCCCAACAAAAAGGAAAAACACTTCATTTGATTTTTACCTGTTCCAATTTATCTGAACAACTTCACTCTCGATGTCTTCAGCCAGTCCTTTCTCAAGAGGCTCAGCGATCATGGTCAGCTTATTCCTGCAAAAAAAGGAACTTCTTGAGTTATCATGGAAGACATTCACAAACAATGTTTCTAGTTAGTGCTAATTGCACCTTGTGACTCTAATCAAGATTAAATAGATTCTCATGTTATTATCTTTGTGAAACCAAATGTTTTCACAAAGTTTACTGCCATTGTCCAACAACTGTGATATGCCCTGGCAACACCTAGATAACCAGCATGTATGTATCAAAGATAAACCCAAGATTAACGCTCTCTTCTTTTTCAATTTTTTGACGATGGACACTTTCTGCAGTTAGAACCATGGTGGGGAGCATATTTTTTGTGTGTTCTTGAAACTGCGGTGCCCACATATTTTGGTAACCCTACTGGTCAAAGGAGCTTCGCATGTGTCAGTGTATGGTTCTACATGTATGTCAGTAAAGGTTAGTCCACTGATCTCAATGTTTAAAAATCTGGATAGCTCACTGGTCAATGTGCGCTGTGCACAATGTGAAGCTACATGTTGGCTCTGAATCTCTCAATTTGAATACGAGACAGGAACCAGTAAGATCACTCCCACATAACACTTACATTATTGTTACCCATTGAGACAGCACACAGTAAGCATTGTATGATTGATGTATTTGTAAAATGCAAATAAGGGAATAAATATGTGCTTGGGACATTCATTTGTTGAAATTTAAAGTTTACAAAACTGACCACCATGGCACATTTCATTGATGGGCTGGTGGTCTTACAAACATCCACTAATGAAGTTAGAAGTATAAAAAAAGGCTTATGTTTCCGAATGTAAAGCCATCAGAAAATCCTGTGTGAATGGCAGGTACTACAGAAAAGTACCCTTTAACCGTGGCTACCTAAAGCAAACCATTCTGTAAAAAAATCACTCAGTAAGAAAAAGCCTCTGTAAGTTCCGTCTCTTAACAGTTCTTTCTTCACCTCCATTTCTTTGTTTAAGCTGCCTCAAGAAGCCTCAAGTGAAATTCATCCTTGATTCCTTTTGCGAGTTAAGGGTTGGAGAGTCACACTGGCTGACGCCACCTGCTGTGTTTGGGGTTCACGGCTTAATACGTCCCCCATGCAAACAAGGAATCGTTCACTCCACCACCTTCTCTGATGATTAATTAATCGTCAAATCAATGACAAGTGATGCAAAGGCATGGAGCAGCATATCATCTTCCAGCTTGGTACGCTGTCTCCATGCAGTATCAACGTAGAATGTGCCACGTTCCAATCCACAATTATCTTAAGGACAATGGGCTCAATGAATTCCAATACTGTTGCAACACTCATGATGAACAAGTAATGATCTTTTTTTCTGATCAGCCACACTAGATTGAACAAGACACTAGATTGAACAAGACACTAGATTGAACAAGACACTAGACTGAACAAGGCACTAGATTGTAATGGTGAAGCTTGGCTTGCTGCTCTTGATACCTTGAAGGCCTTTCAAGAAAGTTTGGCACAAGGGACTCATCCACAAACTCAAGTCATCTACGTTCATCTGCTTTATCTGATTTCAAACTTTCTCAGTGAACAGAAAATCTAGAAGGGCGAGTCGTCTTCGGGGAGCAGATTTTAGCACAGGTGTTCCAAAATATTCTGTTCTGGGTGCATCATTATTTTCCTTTTATAACACCTCACCCACAGATTCTGTGGGTTCAAACATTTTGTGAAGGGGTAGTTTGGAAAAGTGTAAGTAAATTTTCAACTTATTTCTTATTCAAATTGAAATAAAGTTTCATTGCATATAAATTAAATTAATCAGTTATCACATACTGAAGCAAAATATGTGGGAGAGTAGAGAATTCATGAACCAATATTGACTGCTTTATCTTGTGGTGATACATGGAGCATTTTATTTTCCCTCGGCTTTGCCTCCGGACAAATGGAATGCTTCATAGATCACCTCAGGAGACTAATTTTACTACACCACTCAAAGCAGTCAATATTTGTATACTATAGCAATGCCTAAAGGCCTGCCTAAAGGCCAAATTCAAGCATGAGGTAAATCACTACCTGTCTACACCTAACCCTTTTCAATATTCCTGTACTCCTTGTCCTCTCCTCTCTTTGTGTATACCTCACCCACAGGCATGCAACTGGGAATTTAGAAAAAAACGAGGAAATTCCAAAATCACACAAGACTTTGTACAGCGTTTTTCAATTTGTAATGGCATTCATGAGAGGTAAAAAATGAGGAAATCAGCGGATCCGAGGAAAAGTTGCATGCCTGCACCCCAAGGGGCCTTTCATCCCCCCTTGTGATGGGCGCCTTTTAAAAGAAACACCTAAGTTTGAGGTAACCTTTGCTTGCATGACTTTGCCATGTTGACCTTATATCTAGAACAGAGTGAATTACTGGTGTCTTCCAACACTCGATAACAAATAAAAAGACTTGAGACTACAAACGTTTGGTGTAGGAATACATAAATAAAAGGTAAGGAATTTTTGATCCTTATTACAACATATGTGTGTCGACCAAGCAGGTAGAAAAATACAGGAATGAGTGCACCAGACTGATATGGGAAGAAAGGACTTCACCATATGAGTGTACTCTTCACAGTGGTATTAATACACTACAAGCTCTGTGTACAAGTACCCCCTCAACGGTAAGGGAGAGTCCACTTGGATTAACATTTGACTGCATCACTGACTGCGCCTGATGCTTAACAAAAAGACGCTATGGCTTTGTGCACATTCAGAATAAAATAAACCATGCCCACTTTGCGTTATATGCACTCGAAACAATATGCGCAAACAGGTTGTGTCCCGTCCACAGGGCTCTCGAAGGTGTTAAATAGGCACATGGAGCCCATTGGTGATTGACAGCCTTTAGCAACAGACAGGAAGAGTCCCAGGCCTTCATTTTTAGAAATTCGTGGAGCTCAGTTAATTGCTCTCCTGGGAAATCCGAGGAGCTCAATTTGAGCACCCAAAATTGCTCTCCTGGGAAGTCCGAGGAGCTTGATTTGCATGTTTTGTGCTCAAAGTAAAAAATGAATCCAAATCATTTCCTGAAGCCTTTCATATCATGCACACACACTTGCATCAGAATTGAGAAACAGATGCGACTGTTCACTACAAATTGAGTGCTTATTAATCCATGTCAAAATAATAGGTTTAAGTTTTACTTGTTTGTGAATCATCCTGATGTTGAAATAAAAATGAAAAACAAATTGGAGTTGACTTGTGGTTCTTTAGTGTTTTTATTTTGTTCTATTTTACTTCGTTTTTATTATACTCACTTTATTTTATTTTTATTTTGTTTTGTTTTATTTACTGTTTATTTAAGTTTTTGTTTATTGATTTTTTTTTATCAAATAGTTTAATTGTTTTGGTTTACTAACTTTACAAAAAACTGTTTTTGTTTAAATTTGCATATGTATCATGTGGTGTAACCGTGTTTTTGAGGGGTTCTAAATTTTATCCAAATTGATGAATAGAGCCCAGAGCACCCTCCCCCCCCAAAAAAAATAAATTTAATTTAAGTCCGGTCATACATCTGTCAAAGAAATACTTTTTTTGTCACATAAATCCTCAAAATTAGTAAAATAGAAAAGGAAAATAATTATATGAATATTTGGTTTTGGGCACGAAAAATAAAAGGATCGAAAGTAAGGTCACAGAAATGTACAAGTAACGCCATTACAAAATGTCGAATGATACTACGCACAAACAATGTCACCGTGCACGGGTGGCCTGTTGACCGGCCGCGCTTGCGGGCATAGCCCGGTAGTCGACACACAGAAAATGGCTCTGCACTCTATCGTTGTGGGACAAATGAGCTCAACCTTTCGTAAGGTATTTCCAACCCAAACTTGTCAAAAATAAACGCTAGTTTCTTGTAGATGTACCGGAGATCATTCAAAATGCCGTTCAAAAACTCTGGCTCCCTTTGGAATATCACAACTTCCAAAAAAACGGTGTAATTTCACATAGGCCTACCCGGACCCACTGTTGTATGGCTGCGCAGTATTAGATCGCGCACAACACAAGTACGCATTATGCGTGTGATCGCCCACACACCGGGCCTGCACCACACTCAACACGTGTGCTTGGGCCACGTCCATTTTATCGAAAATAGGGGTGTTGGTATTACAAAGTAGGTGGTTTTAATTGCTCAGCCCATCCATTTCATAATTGTTTTGTGTTTTCACTTCATCGGAGGTTTATTTATTTAGGTTTACATTATAAATATTTATAAACTAATTTATAAACTGATATCAACCGTAATTATTATTTCATTTTATTCACTTAACGGCGGTGCACGTCTGAATGACGATCCTGCCATAACCTTGATCATAATGGAACGTGCTACATGTCGTTGACGAAAAGAAAATGGCTGATGTATCCATGTATTTGTTGATATTTTTGCAACAAAATCGTTCAAACATCGGGATGACAAGTTAAGAAATCAAGTATAAAATTTGGATTGACAAGATTTTACTGTCGGCTTTTATGCAGACAAAAACTGGAGTCGACAATTAATAAGCTTACAAATTTACCCAGGAGCGCTATTATTCGCGCGCCAGAAACCGTGTTAAGGAGCGCGAAGGAGCGCGATCGCGCTCGCGCTCCTTAAAAATGAAGGCCTGAGTCCCTGAAGTGGATTAAACAAACTCAAAACTATAGGACTCTTGAAAGTATGTCCTCCAACATACGATCACCTTCCCATTGGGTCTAGGTTTAGTGGCTACCAGCAGCATTCCAATCTGGCACACATTAATGAATCCACCAGACAAGCATAAATAATGGCTGGCAGTGAGAACTGCGACAAGTGTGCACTCGTGGTCTGTATCATGTCAAGGATTGTTTGCTGTTATCTTACTTTTTGTTGGGTGTTTCAGCAAAACACTTCAGTGATGAAGTCTCAACCACGGTCTCACAGAAGGCCACCACAGGATCAGCAACTTTGATATCTTCAGGATAGAAAGAGACAGTAATAACAAGATAAAGACGATTTCTTAATAACGCATCACGTACGACAGCTTCCCTTGGCCAGGTAGTACAAGACTTTATGAAAAAAGAAAATAAAATGAAAGATTTATTCAGCTCCTTATTTAGTAGACCCCTCTACAGTCATGAAGAGGGAGTATCTACTAGTGAATACTTGGGGTGAAGCCAATTACAGGGCACAATACATCTGCTAAGACTATACAAATATAACATGGTTTGAAGTTTAACTTCCAATATCAAGGAGAGCTAATATCTACTATCCACTCAACATAAACCATGTTGATTGGTTTACTATACCTCATATATATTTATCAAATTTAGACAAGTTATGTACCCAAAAGTATCAGGGGTGTAACGATTCACCAATGCATAGATAATCATTATTCTGAAATGTCACGATGGCATCGCGATACAAAAATGTCTCCCTAATTCCACGTCTCCCAAAGGTATAACTTTTGATGCTAAGGCGTCTCCCAAATGGTACTATTTACGATGGTAATAATAATAACTTATTACCGATAATGGGCCACTCAGGAAACAGTCCCATACATTTGTGCACAATTTTTTTTTTCCAACTTAAATACCCCAAGCGGGGGCTCAACCCCAATTTTACCTTATCCTACCCCCACACAAATTTTTACTAATTGGACCACAAGCAATGATCTAGCCTATTTGGGACAGGACAATTTTTCCTATAAATAGGGGCTGAGGCATTAGGGAGACAATGAAATGTCTCCCTAATTCCCCCCCCCACAGTAGTGTAGTTGGGGTCTACGAGCGAATACTTACCTGTAGAGCGAATACTACACATGCATTGTTCCCTATGCCGGCAGGCAATTCGCTAAGAGTTTTACATACAATAGCGCCCTCACGTGTCCTACCCACGACGCCCTGTGACATGCGCACTACGTTAGCGTCCTCTTTTTCTCTTAGCCGCAGGCGAGGTATGACGTGGAATTTCAATCGACCTGAATTTCACTATTTTATTGGTACCTCTTTTGCTTGGAGAAAGCTATTTCGAAGAAATAAAGAGAAAGTGTTTATTGTAGAGTTGTTCTAGTGAAGTATTTGAGTGAAAGTGAAGTAAGAAATGAGTAAATCTAGGAAGTTGGGGAGGACTGGGTGTGTCAATAATGGAGGGACGTACATCCCACCAGACAAGCCCGAGTTCTCGGGGGACTGCACCGGTGATGGTACGTCACCGCGGCAGCAGTCCCCTAGTCGGCCCCTTCAGCCACTGCCGGTTGTCGGAGCTGACGGACCCGTTGACCAAGCGGGGGGCCGTACAACCCCACCGTCTTCGGTCAATATTCACGGGTCCGCCCAACTGAAGGGGAAACTTACCGGCAAGACAAGGAAATTGTCTGACGCCGGGGCAGTACCCATAAAGGGACGAACGGCAAAAGGTGGCCCCGCTACGGGGCGCACCGTGCCTGTCCCTGGCCCGTCTACGGGGCACACGCAGCCGGAGGAAGTACTCCTCCATGGCTCAGTGCACCCAGGCCCACCCAGCCCCGTGATTACCACGATGCCTGGGGATGGGCTGTTATATGGCCGGTTAATCGCCGTGGAAAACTGGAGGATGTCACCCGTAGAATGGACTCGGCGGCACGCATGGGTATGCGTGCGACGTCCTTTCTTCTTCTCCTATCAGAGTACCTGGCACTGGGATATGAAGAAGATTCGGTGATACCAGCCGACATGATGGTGGCTGCTCTCCATTGCCTCGATCGCGGCCTGTGCTCCACTCTCGACCAGTTTGCTAGAGTGTCGACCTTAGCAACATCGTCACGCCGCACCAATGTGCTAGATGCGCTTTTCCTCCCATCACCGGGAGCACGTAAGCGTCTCGACGAACTTCCGCTTTCAGGCCCGGACTTATTTTCTGGTAAGTTCCAGGCCACTGAGAGAATTAATCTCAAGAAACCGGCCGAGTTGAAAACTGCGGACAAGACAAAGAAACAACCTTCTTTTGTCATTCCCTGACGCCGCCCGGTCAGGGCGGCCCGTGGTGGATTTCGTGGGCGCGCCGATAAGACGGTGGGCCCGCGTTATTCACAACCACATACCGGACAACGGCGTCCCCAGTCGGGACGCGGTTTCCGGGCGCCCACTACCCGGTACACCGGGGCGTGGCGCAAGTGACTTATGCGTCTCCGAACGGCCTCCCGTTCGTGGGGTCCTGGGTGCAGGTGACTTCCGACCGGTGGGTCCTCGAAACGAACAGCAGCAGTTACGCGCTCGAGTTTACGAGGACCCCCCCCCCCCCCCCCCATCGGACATGCTTATTCGGACAACGCCCATACTGCCCGACACAGCAAAACGCCGCTCCCTCGAGGAGGAGATCGACGCCCTCCTTCTAAAGAGAGCAGTTCGTGTTGTCCCCCAAGGGGGGACCAGGGCAGGTTTCATGTCAACCTTCTTCTTGGCCCCCAAGAAGGAGACCGGTGTGTGGCGTCCAATATTGAACTTAAAACCCCTCAACAAGTTCATACGTCCGAAACGTTTCCGCATGGAAACGTTACGGACCATTCTCGAATCGATCATCACGCCCGCGTGGGCGGCCAGTATAGACTTGAAAGATGCGTATTTTCACGTACCGATCAGGCCGGAGCACCGCAAATTCCTACGTTTCCAATACAAAGATATACTGTACGAATTTGTGGTGCTCCCATTCGGGCTATCCACTTCTCCGCAGGTGTTCACCTGGATCGTGAAGACGATCGGGGCGGCACTGTGGCGACGAGGGATCATGATATTCATGTACCTCGACGATTGGCTAGTACATGTAGTGGGTCGTTCGCGAGGGGAGACGGAAGCGGCGCTCCAACTAACGTGGCACCTTGCTACCGACCTGAGATTTCTCATCAACACCAAGAAATCCCACCCAGTCCCCTCTCGGGTTCCCACCTTTCTAGGTGCATCCCTCGATCTTCGCAGGGGATTGGCCCGTCCATCGGAGGACCGCCTGCTGAACCTTCGGCGGTGCGTGTCCCTCTTCCTCCCGACGGTAGTGGCTCCGGCCCGAGCCTGGCTCAGGCTGTTGGGCCTTATAGCCAGTCTGGTGGACTTAGTGGATTTTTGCAGGCTGAGGATGAGGCCAATTCACCTTCACCTGCTGTCTTTCTACAGACCCCGCTGGCACCCGATCGACCATCCGGTGCCCACTACGTCTTGGCTAGTCCCCCACCTTCGTTGGTGGCTAGTCGAGGCCAATATAATGCAGGGCCGCGTTTTCCGCCCGCCCCGCCCGTCGGTACTTATCACAACCGACGCGTCAGGGTACGGCTGGGGGGCTACCCTCCACCCGCGACAGGTCGCGGGCGTGTGGGGCCCCGCACATCAATCATCCCACATCAACGTCCTGGAAATGCTGGCAGTCACCAACGCACTAAAACATTTCCAGTCGGACGTCAGAGGGCAAGCAGTCCTGGTACGATGCGACAACGCCACAGTGGTGGCATACATCAATCACCAGGGTGGCACTCGGTCAGGCCATCTGTGTGCACTAACGTGGGATCTCACCCTCTGGTGCATACATCACGGGATAGCACTGTCGGCAGTACACATCCCGGGGGAAGAGACGGAGGCTGGATCGCCCCGACAGAGTGGTCACTGCTCCCACAGGTGGCTCAGTCGATCTTCCGACTAATCGACCGGCCGCATGTGGACCTATTCGCGTCGCGAATGAAAATCAGCTACCGATCTACTGCGCGAGGGACCCAGATCCCAACGCGTGGCAGACCGATGCACTGTCGGTGCGGTGGGACGGCCTACTGGCCTACGCCTTCCCACCCATCTCCCTCGTTTCTCGAGTGCTGACCAAGATCGAGCAGGAGGATTGCCGAATTCTCCTCATAGCCTGTTCTGGCCCCGCCAGCCGTGGTTTTCCCCGGCTCGGCCGACTCTTGGTTCACCGCCTGGTAATTCTACCGAGGAGGGCCGATCTCCTTTATCAGCCCAGCTCGGGAATCAGTCACCAGGCTCCGGGGGATCTTCACCTGACGTGCTGGGTATTGTCACGCGATCCCTCTGCTCAGCAGGCCTTTCGCGACGAGCTGCAACAATTGCAGCTCAGTCCCGTAGAGCCTCAACCAGAAAGGTGTACGATAGCCGACTACGCCATTTCTTAAATGGTGTAGACAGCAATCCATTCATCCCCCAATACTTCTGTAGGGGAAGTGGGGGATTTCCTCCTATACCTTTTTAACAGTGGGCTCACGACGGCCACGGTCAAAAATTATCGATCGGCCGTTGCCGTGATCCATCAGGGATTTTCGGACGGTTCCTCCGTTTCCGGCAACCCTGCAATTACCCAACTGATCAAGGGGATGTTTAATACTCGTCCCCCAGTACGCACATTAATCCCATCTTGGGACCTCTTCAGTGTATTATCTACACTGGCGAAGGCTCCCTTTGAACCAATGAATTGCTCAACTTTGTTACAACTCTCCATCAAAGTAGCTTTTCTATTGGCTGTCGCTACGTCCCGACGACGTAGTGAACTACACTCGTTATCGATGCAGACGGGGGTGTCCGCCTGATCCCTACGGCCGGTTTTCTCGCAGAGAACCAGTCGCAGACCTTTACGCCCCCGGACATCTTTGTCCCGGACATCAAGTCTTTTTCGAACAAGACAAATGACAAACTTTGGTGCCAGTTCGAGCACTTAAGTGGTATGTCAACCGTACAAAGTCACTTCGTACGGGACACAACAAATTATTCATCGCGACGACCCCGCCCCATGGGCCGGCGTCCCGCGATACAATCACTCGCTGGATCGTGACAGCTATCCGTTCCGTACCGGGCGGCTGGCCAGCGACCCAGGGACCCATTCGAGCGCATGAGGTCAGGGGAGTGTCCACCTCGTGGGCCTTTTTTAAAGGTGTCCCCCTAGGTGACATCGTCAAGGCAGCCTGCTGGAAGAACCCTAACACGTTCTCCGAATGCTACCCGAAGGATGTCCTCCAGGTAGATGGCAAGGCTGGAAGAGAAGTGCTGCTGGCGGCCAGTCGAGCCTCACGGAAGCACTAACGGGTGAGCATATAAATATACATATATATTTGTATGGGCATTAAGTTTAATTAGGTGTACCTATCATGGGTTCATCCCCATAATGGTTACACCCCCCTGACTTTTTGCGCACAAGCTCTTTGGGTTCCCCTTACGAGGTGAAACCTGGAGCGTCTGGGGTGTAGGTTTTTTGGTTTGGTGTTGTTTGCCTTTGGACACGCCTCATGTCCTACACCCCTGTAGACATACGGTAATTTGCGTATACCCACCGCCTTACTCGGTGCGAGTCTATGCATATGTAGTATTCGCTCTACAGGTAAGTAGAGTGATGTAGACTCCCCCCCCCCCCACAGTAGTGTGGTTGGGGTCTACGAGCGAATACTTACCTGTAGAGCACCCCTCCCTCCTTCCCCACTATACTCGATTCCTTGAGTGCTTACGCAAGTAACGCTTGAGAAAAAGAGGACGCTAACGTAGTGCGCATGTCACAGGGCGTCGTGGGTAGGACACGTGAGGGCGCTATTGTATGTAAAACTCTTAGCGAATTGCCTGCCGGCATAGGGAACAATGCATATGTAGTATTCGCTCTACAGGTAAGTAGAGTGATGTAGACTCCATTTGTCTACCAAAGTTTAACTTAGTGTCTACCAAAGGGCCTATTTGTAGTTGTATTCATGATCGCACTCAATCCAAATGATCTCTTTTGTTGGAAATAAACAGGCCCACCTGTGCTCCATGCAATCAACACAGCAATGAACATTGATGAATGCACTGATTGTATGCATGGATGTTCATTGAGGTAAACCTCCAGTTATTGCTTGGTACATTTCACTTGAAATACTTCCCATTTACTAACCTATTTCAGAATACATCTTCCTGAGGTCATGCATAACACAATCCAAATACAGCTCACCGGTGCCAAGCACAACATGTTCACCTGATTCCTCAACCTGCACAAAAGTAATCAGATTTATAAACATAAGTGTTGAAAGTTTACTACATATGAGATCATCATTTAAAAAAAGTCCAGGGGAGCTATAAATTACTGTCCTCAAATCAAGCTGATAGTTCTCCTCAAAAATGTGATAAACTAGAGAAACTTGTTAAGTTGATGATTTTTGTGGTTAAGTTCAACATTAACTGCAGGTGTCCAATACTTTTTAAAAATTTGACACTCCTCCTGATAAAGTACGGGCTTCTCGTAAACCAGTTCTTCTCAATTCGATAATTTCAACATTTATTTTTTAAGTGAATTTTAAACCAAATCACTAAAAAGCAACTTATCAATTGTATAGATGACCTGACAGCTAGGGAGCATTTATTGCACTTCTTAAAGACAATCATTTGCATTTAAATCTTCTCTATCGCTAGTAATCAGAATTATTTTTTGAGGTAAGTCCTTTTCACTTCCAGTTAATAGACACACACAAAATAACCTTTGCTTTCTGCTTACATCCATTTCACAACAGTCAAAGGTCAAGACAATTATTTTTGAACATTTTTTAAAGGCTGTGGTGTTTCAAGTATAAGCGATACAGGCTCACAATAAATACATGAAAAAATACATTCACAGAAAAGAGAGATCGAGTTCTGTGAACAAACTTGCAAAAATATGTTAAATATCAATGTTTGCTTGCAATATTTTACTGTGAATTTTTGGGGTCTGTTGATGTTTATTAAAGGGAATATACAACATTTGCTTTTGCTGTAATTTTCAGAAATTGATGGATTTGAGGGTTAGTATTTTAACCCCTTAAGCACAGGTTATAATGGGAACATTCCTCCACCTATAGAGCAAGTGGCCCGCATGACTGCACAGCCTTTGTGTGGTAGCTGGACTGCACAAAAGCAGCAGCTGTGGAACTGCCCACTAGCCGTGTGCCACGGCATACCACAGCTGGCAACTGCATTCCAATGAGGATTAGCGGCCGCGGCCATGACCGCTTCCCGAGCTCATTGGGTTAAAGCAAATATCGTTACACTGACTTGTTTGTTTTATGTTCGTAGATGCTTGAAAAACCAAGTGTGTTCGTAGATGCTTGAAAAACCAAGAAAAACAATCATGTTCTTGTAGTCTGGTTCCCTGACCCCACTTACAGATGTCAGGGAATTGTAAGGTCAGGGAACCAGGCTAGCTGGCTCGTACCCGTTCATAGGTGTGTAGTTGATTACAAACAAAATACTGACTAACTAAATATTGTAAATTGGGGGCAGTATTGACAAAAAGGCAGTTTTTCCAACACTGGTCAGCCGACCACCCTTGGAAATTGATACAAAAGTTCTACTTTTCTTGAAAATGTCAGCACACCAGGTGACAAGATTTCACATGATGCTTTAGACTTGCATTAACAGTCCAGTGAGGTATTTCATAATAATTTGGTAGTTTTGTTTTTTGATGATTGCAAATGTTGTATATTCCCTTTAATTATTGGTTTAAACATGTCTCGTGAATAAAAAAAAAAGGCATGCTGGCCAAGTTGGCCGCGAAATGTGCATATTTTGAAGGGGCACTGCAGCCAATCATGTTTTGATACTTAATGAACCAGTCTGGCCACAGACCAGCTAGTTTATCGAGGGCTCTATTGTACTAGGGGATCTCACAGTATGGATGCATGCAGCAGCACATACCATTCGGAGGACTAGGGATGAAGGCATATGTAGTTGATGTACATGTACCTTAGTTGTGATCAGTGGGTAACTCTTGTTTATCTTTCGCAGTCCATCAAGCATTTTGGGCAGCTCGGAAGGGTTGACAGGCTCCACAGCAATCTTGATGACTGAGCTGGTGTTGAATTTCAGAGGGCGAAAGATGTAAACCTAAAGGGATATGACCATCCAAAACAAACCTCAATATAATTAAAATCTAGAAGGGATTTTAAGTGCAATAGCACCATGCACATTTGGTCACACAATTTTAAAAACAGTCGAGTCCAGCCTGTCAAAAATAAAACAAATCAACACACAAACTGGGAAGCGGAACAATAGAAAATCTTCGATTTACACCATAATCAAACGTGTACGTGTTCTACATAACCCCCAAGGACAGACACACAATGGGAGAACAACAGATCCTTTCAGTCCACGGGAATTGGGTCTTTTGTTCAACATGGTCCTCTGTGGTAGGTTTGTGTGCTTAGTCTATGGGAGAGTGTTATATTACATGGACAAAGGAAAACACAAAGCATTGTCCTCTGGAATATAGTAAAACAATAGTGGGTGGGTGGGTTGGCATTACATTCACTGTGTGGACTTCGGAACAAAAGAGGTCCACATAAACCAGGTAGAGGCGACGTTGTGTGGACTTGGGCAAATCCACACAGTGTTTCCCCATTTCTTGAAAAAAGGTTTAGAGGCATTTTGGGGTTAGGTTTATCCGTGGCAAAATGAAAAAAAGGTTTATAGATCATAGGGGAAAAAATGATAGATCATAGGGGAAAAAATGAGTTGAAAGAGTTTTCACAGTTCGAGAAAAATGAGTTTTTTTCACTGGTTTTTCTTAACTACACAAAACCAAGGGAATGTCCACACTTGGTATGTAATGTAAACATGGGTGTGTCTGTGTGTGCATGGCCCTTGTGTCTCATGGAAGAGAACTCTGACGTTATAATCTCATGTCTGGCAGGAAAGCTCATAGTTATTAAACGGTTACACTGCAGTGATTTAATTTATTTTTTGCATAGTGAGTACCTTATTGGCACAATATAACAAAACAAGTGTTGACTGCTGTGGTGTCTAGAACCCTCAGCTTTGCCTCAGGTGCTTTGGGCACAAGAAACCACATCATAATGTCCCACATCATAGCAGTCCAAAATTATTAAATCAATTGATTATCCTTGAAATGTTGATTACTGTTCTTGTAAAATGAGAACAAGACAAACAAAGACATACAGACTGGCATGCAAACTACATGCAGTAAAGGGACGTTTCTATGGGAAGGCAAATCTATTACATTTCTACCTCATCCAGCCCTCTGCTTTCTGTAATTGTGGAGGTCTTAACGATTGGTTCATCCACTCCCTCTATCAGGACCCAATTGCCCGCTGGCACTCGGTTCACCTCAATTTTGTATCTGAAAAGAAAATAAGTTGTAAACTTATTGTTTGTAAATCATGGTAATTTTGCTCTTTGCCCAATCAGATGTACCGTAATTTTCGGAATATAAGCCGCGCGGCGTATAAGCCGCAGCACGCAAAAATCTGCAAATTAAGATTTGAAGTCGGCGTATAAGCCGCACCGGCGTATAAGCCGCACCGACAATGACCGACCGCTGCGGTTTCAATTTTGTAAGGCCTCCAAATTCTAGTCAAAATGCTCTGAACCAGTTCCATTTACACTACAGAAGCTATCAAAAGGGCCACAAAAGTTATATCAAATCATTTACAATCGATACTTTTACAAACAAATATGGAAATTGATGAGAAATAAACACCGGGAACTGCTGCCGGCTGCCCCGTCATAGCCCGGCAGCCTGCGCCATGCACGCCGGCGAATGACAACATTTTCCCACAGCACATGAGAGAGTATGAAACCCACCGTGTGTTGTCTGACTGGAGCGCTACAAATCTTGCTTTGTGGCAACAGATGCTGATTTTTTTTTTCCTAAGAATAAACAGGTCCATTTTTACCTCAAAACTTATCAAATTGTTGCGATTACTAACGAGTAGTTGCGATAAAAATTCAAGTTTCGATCGTAACTTTCTTCGGAAATAGTCAAAACGAAGCGGACATTTTAATAGACGAATCCATTTATTTTGTAAGGGGTGATTTAGTCCCTCTTTTGAGTTTTACATCGTTTCTCGAATACATTTCAAGAAAACAAAATATATTGTGACGTTGAACAACTGATTATGTAATAAATAAATGTTTCGAACGCCATAAAAATTGTAGTCGTCTTTTTTCTTTTTTTTTTAACAGCGGAAATATTGGTAATTATTGTTCCCAAGAAATAACACCCCTTTATTACCACAAATGGTGTGGTAAGCTGGGGGGATAGCATGCTGCATATCGCTGCTGCACTGTACCAGTATCACGTACGTACAGCTGGTCGCAAGTGTCGAAGACAGCTTTCGTCACCGTACTTTTTACCGCTCGGTACCTTTACGTGAGAGGTTTCGGTTTGTAATGACTTTCTTAATTTATAATTCATTTCAGCAACACATCTCTTCTTGTACCAGTACATAAAATACTCATGTGAATCTTATTTTTATTCTTCAGGGCTCAGCGTGTAAGGCGCCCTGTGTATAAGACGCAGTAAACATTTTCATGGGCAAATTCAACGTATAAGCCGCGGCTTATATTCCGAAAATTACGGTACACAAACACAACTCTGAACAGAACAAAAACTGTATGCGAGTTCCAAAGATAGTTCTGTAAGGGATCTTTTCAACAAAAACTCCTGACTATCAACAAACATTCGCTGAATTCTGGCGTTGCTAAGGGCCATCAAGTCTGCGAAATCCTTGACTGCTGTTCACTCTTACATGTGTACCTGACCAAGTTAATGAGGAAGTATCCGCTTGTGTGCGTTTGTTATTTGAATTCACCCACTGAGTAATTCACAGCTTTGGACTTCTCATCTCCGCAAAGTTTGCGACCTTATATGTAAGTACTTGTTTGTTGAGATTCACTTGAGCATGTACCGTAATTTTCGAAATATAAGCCACGGCTTATACGTTAATTTTGCCCATGAAAATGTTTACTGCGGCTTACAGGTATACACAGGGCGGCTTATACGAAAAAAAATAAGGTCACATGTGTGTTTAATGTACTGGTATAAGAGATGTGTTGCTGAAATGAATTATCAATTTAGAAAGTCATTAACAAACTAAAACCACGTCCCACGTAAAGGTACCGAGCGGTAAAAAGTACGGTGAAAGCTGTCTTCGACGCTTGCATCACTATGGAATATGAATGTTGACTAACGTGTATATCAGCGTATGTTAAAACTTCGTCACAGTATATTCACGATTCTATAACCCCAAAAAAACCCAAACCCAAACAACTTGTAGGCATGAACAAAAAGAACGATGCTTTGAATGAAACAAAATGCAACAAAAAATTGGGATGCAGTAACAAAACTTCCTCATTCAAATTATTGGATTAATATGTAGTGCGAATCAAAAAAATATACACTTTTAAAACTGGCCATAGTTTTATTCTGTAGCAATATAGATAAGATATTTTTCATATGTACTTTTAGAGTAACTCTTCCTGCTTCTTTTGGTGACATTTTCACTGGATTAGTTTTCATGCATGACTGCACAGGATACAATTAAACGGGTTGGGTGAAATCTGACTTGCCCCAACTGGTCAGAGCTAGATAAGAAAGAATCAATTCAAAAGAACACAACCATTGTATAGCAAACAGACAAAACAGGATTTCATTAGCTTTTAAACCTTGTGTTATTTAAAACATTTAAATTAAATTAAAAAGGCAATTAAATTCCATGGTGTCTTAGACCTCAACATGGCCACCATCTCGTTCAATGCACAGCTGGGCTTGGCACATCGTTCCTGCAACAGCGCAGCACAGCGAATCACCTCCCTGTCTTGTCTGAGAATGTCAATTACACGAGATATTCTTTCCTAGAGGTCATCCAGATTTGCCTACTGAAATTCTTGCAAGCAAGATCCACAAATCTGAACTGATTGTGCATTCCATGACCAGAACCAAGACAATGGTTGTATTCTTTTAAATTGCTTCATTTTTATCCAGCCGTGACCAGTTGGCGCAAGTCAGATTTCACCCGACCCCTTTATTTGTCTCATGTGCAGTCATGCATGAAAACTAATCCAGTGAAAATGTCACCAAAAGAAGCAGAAAGAGTTACTCTAAAAGTACATATGAAAATATCTTGTCTATATTACTACAGAATAAAACTATGGCCAATTTCAAAAGTGTATAGTATTTTTTAATCACACTATAGTGATGTTCATTACTATCATACCTACAAAATCAAACATATTTTATTGATTTAGCATTGTGATCTTAAATGGTACTATCTCTAAATGACCACTGAAGCAGGGGTGTAAATCCCGGGCCGAGGGGGAGTATATATATCCCCTCACTTTTTGACCGGGAGAATGGGCTATTGGATCATTAATATATGTGGATTTTGAAGTATTTTTCTAACTTCCCAACAATCTATAGTTATTCAATAGCACTGAAAAACGGAGAAAAAAGTACAAAAGCTTAAAATGTGCTGTTTTGAAGGTTATGGCACGTAAGTGAGTACACATAAGATGAACATCTGTATCATGAACAGGACCCCCTAGTGTAATATGGTGTCCTCCCCCTTTTTGAATTTCCATGGGTAGGTAATTTTTGTATACTGATCATCCCTCATCCCCCTCTTCGGCACAGATTTATGCCACTGTGCTGAAGTTGAAACATAAACAGGGCCAAAAGCTGCATTTACACTGTGATAGACAATTGTTTTACAACAACAGTTATGCAGTACAGTAACTTTTGGTATGTAGGTCACAATTGTTCTTTTGTGATGATCATTCTGGTGGCATGGGCACTGCCAAGATTCTCAGTGTCAAGTCAAGGGGTTGGGTTGGGCACTAACCAGTGGCATCAAAATTGGAGAAGGGGGGAGTACTGCTTTTTAGACCTTTTTTTTTTGGCAGTATTTAGACATTAAAGTAACAGTACATTGTTCCCTTTTGCCCAAGGTCACCAAATGCTGCATTATATTTATGAAGATTGTAGAACCTCACCTAGCTTCTGAAATCCATAGCCTACCAACCAGGCTGATTCTGGAGTCTTCTTCATCTTCCAAAGTGTAGTTCTCTCCAAGAACCCTAACCTCTTGATTAGCATGGATGGTACCACTCATGACCCGACCAAAGGCATGGAAGCTTACCCCATCTTCTGTGCTGTACATCTTGGTTGTGTGCAGCATCAAAGGACCCTGCAGATGGATGATGGATGGCACATTGTCATCTTTTTCTGAGCTATAAAAGGAATTAACTACACCTGTACATCAGCTAAATGATTTGTCCTCCGTTACTCAAGTCCAAGGGCTTAAGTTCAGGAATTCATTCTTGCACATTATTTGCACCCAGCGCATCACTGATCTGAAGTGGGGGCAGATAATGAACTTTGCAATTACATCATGTGACTGGAGCATTTTTACACCATTAGCCAAATTCATGTGGCAATAATCAGAATGTAATTAAAGTTTCTAATCTTCATATTGACAAAAAATCAAGGAAACACTTAACGTTTTTGTAAAAATTTGTAATTCTTTTGTATGCATGTGCATATTCATCATCATCATGCTGTGGTTATTCATTGTTGGATGAAGCCCTCCTCAAGCAGTTTCCATTCTCTTCTGTTTGTCATTCTACTCCTTGTTGCCGTGTTCATATATGTGGTGATTTCATCTCTCCATCTCCTTTGTCTACCTTTTCTTCTTCTGCCTGTCCTTGGTTGCCATTCTGTGAGTCTCTTGGTCCATCTTTTGTCTTGTCTTCTTTGCTAGGTGCCCTGCCCATCTATATTTCATTTCCTTGATCTTCTCTGTGATATCTTTGACCTTTGTTTTTTTGTCTGATGAAGGTATGTCTGATTCTGTCTTGTAATGATAGATTGAGCATTCTCCTTTCCATGGCTCTCCAGTTTTGTTCCATCTCTTTAGTTGTTGCCCATGTCTCTGCCCCATAAGTCATTGTTGTTTGGACACACTGGTTGTAAATCCTTTTTCTAAATGATATTGGAATTTCCTTGTTGGTCAGTAATTCTTTGTACCTTCTAAAACACCTCCATCCTCCCTTAATCCTACTTTGTACTTCTTCTCTCGTGGTGTCTTCCATTTTCAGTGTTTGGCCAAGGTATTTATACATTATAACTCTCCACTTTCTCTATCAGATGACCCTCTATTGTTATTTCTTCTGTTGTCTCAAAGTTTGTCATGAACTTAGTCTTTCCCCTGTGCATTTGTAATCCAACCTGTTTGCTTTCATCATTCAGACTGTGTACCCAGAGATGAAACTGGCATATGGCAAACAAATCAGAAAATAGGCCGAACAAAAATATGTGTCCGAAATCTGGGCCGCGCTGCAGTTACACATATGTACATGTACACGTACACATACATGCATGTACAGTATACTTCATGCCCAATTTCCGGACACCAACTCCTGCTTTATTTTCGATTCAAACACAATTTTACGATGAAAAGAAAATGGTAAGTGTTTTCATTGCATAAAAATGCCTGAATTACGGTTAGAGTAATGGAGTCATCATTAAGAAGTTCACTTCTTACTTAAAAAAGTCGAGGGAAAAGTCTGTAAGACAAGGGAACCGTTCATGGTGCTTCAATATGTCCATGATTCAACCACGCAACTCCACCACTCCACTTGCATTCATACCTTGGGAAAAATCAGGCATTAATATCTTCTTTCTCTTCCAACAAATGCCAGTGAAATGTTTCGCTAATGCTCTCTTCGCTATCATCAAGATAATCAGCACGATGTTTAAAGCATTGCATTTTGTACAACTAAATCTGAAACCTCTGAAAATCGCACAACATAATGATTTCATCCACTGGATCGTTCACAAGGCTACCCGTTCCCGACCGGCGCCATGTGCTAGCGGATGGTACAGTGCGGTACGTACGCTGGTAGTACATTGCATATTCGCACGCACGTGCGACACAGTGCTTTTTCCATGTCACCTGCCAATGTTTAACCTTTTGTCCAGCCAGAGAAGGCTCCAATCAGTGTTATGCCATGTGTTTCTTTCATTAAAACACTCCAATAACGACTGGTGAAAGAGATTAAAACTACGTTCGCGATGATTTTTGTACGCGATGATTTTTGTACGTGTGTGATAATAGGCTGATTGGTCGATAGTTTTTGATATCTGTCTTGCCATCTTTTTTATGCAGAAGAATTACATTGGCCTCTTTCCATCTGATTGGAATGTTCTTTTCTTGCAATATCTGGTTGAACAACTTTGTTAACTGCTTCACTGTCTCCTCCCCTCCTGCTTTCATGATGTCGCTTGTTATTTCGTCAAGTCCTGGTGCCTTGTTTTCCTTCATTTGGCTTATGACCTCTTCTACTTCTGTTGGTAGTATAGGAGGTAACTTAGTTCCTGTTGTTTCTTTTTGTCCCTTCTTAACGTTGGGCTTCGATGAAGTGTAAAATTCTTGGTAAAAGTCAGAGCAGATTCCCAGTATTTTCTATCAATCTGATGTAACAGTCGCATCCTTTTGTTTGAGTTGGCCGATTCTTGTTTTCTTGCTGTCTAACTTGATTTTGCTTTTGGGTCCTCTCCCACTTTCCAATATTCCTAGAATGACTTTATGTTTTCTTCTTCTAGTTCTTTGGGTTTTTTTTTTTTTTTTTTTTTGACTGTCTTTACTGCTTCTGTGTACTCTATCTTTTCTACTGGTGTTTTATCCTCAATTTCTCTAAGTGCCTTCCTTCTTCTGTCCAACTCCTATATTTCTTTGTCCTCATCTGAACTTTGGTCTGTTGTCTTCTTTGTAAGATGGCTGCATCTTGTGTCGATATCCATGTTCTCCATTTCCAATGCTGCGAAACGGTTTTTCAGTTCAAGTTGGAATTTGTCTTTTCTTTGGATTGTTGCAAATGTGAAATTCTGTTGATTCCCTACATTAACCATCCAATAAAAATACATGTATTCAGAAATCCAAGTCATGATGACTTTCAGTGCTGGGAATGTTAACACACCACCCCCTGGTTTTGGAAGTGTTTACTTTACCTCAGGGTCACATTCCATCATGGTGTCGACCAGGTCCGAGTCCATGGGCCCAGTGTACAAGTGTTCTATTTTCATCTTAGCAGCAGCTACAGGGGATGGGACATGTTCAACACACATATCGACAAATCCTGTAGAGAGGGAAAAAAGTCCGGTTCAAGTTAGGTCAGGGACACTGAGAACGTTCTTGGAGTCTCAGCAGTCAGTTTTTTCAAGGTATTTACAAATATGTGGGGCATTTTATTAAAAAATTGAATAATTGATGTCAGATGTATAAAGGATTATATGTACATAAAAAATGCAAGTCCAACCACCATTGTTTTGCATCCAATGGTTGATTGTTCTCCGATGATGTTAACATATGTACATGAGGCTGGTCGATGTATGCAAAAACATTTGCATACATACAAGTTTGCATTGATGTAAATGTAGCTCCCTCACTGAACCAGATTCTATCTCAATGACTCACGTTGGTAAAAAATGTGACTGCACCAGTCAAGCCATTAATGAAGATATCATTGTAGGTGATGTTTCAGTTGGAAGTAAGCAAGAAGGTGAATCTGAAGTAAGCACATGCAAAACTGAAAACAAGCCACCAGGTCCATCATACTTGCCATTAATCCCACTAGTTGCAGCCATGCTGCTAAAGGGGCCGCATTTTCTCCAAATAGGTGGATCTGAAGTGGGCACATGTGAAACTGACAAATACACAAGCAGGCGATTTCCCATTTCACGCTGCGCAACATTTCAATTATGACACATTTCACGAAAGTTACACAATCATTTTAAGTTGTGGCGTAGTGACTGAAAATTAACTATTTTTGAACTATTTTACTAGCAAATCATGAATGTCGTGGAGCCTGTCATTGTTCAACTGATCAAGGTTGATACAAGACACTCACGGCTTTGTGTTTGAGGAAAATGAATTGCTGTTTTACTTGTGACCTTTTTTGAGTTGCTGCACGATTCCAAAGAGAGTTGAACAAACTACTTTAGGGCAGGCTTCAATCTTTCCAACTCCAAGAGCAAAGCAGTTCGCGAACTTCGCAGAGCTACTCATCCATCCGTGGTCAAGTTAATGAGGTAGTCACGAAACCTGCGCCTTTGTTATGTTAATGTTCATACGGAATAATTCACAGCGCTTGGACATCGTATTATAATAACGCGAAGTCAGCGAACACGCGTGCCCAAAATATATTGAGGTTTATTTGAGATTAATGTTCACAAGCGAGCGGCGAAAGGTTTGATAAGTGGCATGTGAAATAGCGATGTTTTTTTTTCAATGCAGAAGTTAATCAAAAACATTAACGGATATTTAACAACTTACTAATATTTTTTCGGTGAAAATATAGCGCAAGCACTAGCCTGTTGAAACTTTAGTTGAAGGAAACACGATTGCAGGGAAAAACCGAATGTAAAAACACAAATTAAACTAGAGCTTCACGTTTGTTGAGTTACAAACGCAGAGTGGTCGGGTGGACAGCCTTTTCTTTCTATTCCTTCCTCCATGATTATACACTGCCCATTTATACTTGTTTATGTAGAACAAAGGATCACGAAATTAAATCCTTTCCAGTACAATTAATTATTTTGTTACAAGAATGTATCTTTAACGGTGTGATAATTTGCAGTAAACCTTCTTTGTGCGCAAAAAAGTTATTTCTGGTTTGATGACGTCATCAGTCAAAAACGGTAAGCGAATACTAATAAAGTTCGGAGAGGATAAATTTTCATTGTGAAGTTAAAATAACGTATGAAAATATGGGAAATATAATTGAATGTATAATGTATTAATAACACCTAACTTCCGGTTTGATGACCTATTAATAACACCTATCATACGGTTTAATGACGTCACAGCATTAGAGATCAAAGGTAAACATTGGATATCGTTATTTGGACTACGAAGATATGACAGGGATCAAATGATAGAATTAAATTTAAAAAATGATACTTTTCAAATTCTCCTTAAAGTAACTTCCGGTCTGATGACGTCATGAATTGGAAACCTTGCCAAGTTATCTGTGGTTAACCAGAAAATATCAAGGGGCGATGTGGTAATATGTGAACGGCTGGTTTTAAAATTAAAGAAAGCAAACTCTATATTATATGCCGCTAGGGGGCGTCCTTTTGGATGATGACGTCATCACACTCTTTCTTGTGTCTGGTATTCCTCACTTAACACTTTCATAATTTACATGTTTGTAATCAAATGCTTCCGCTTGTAAGTTATATACGGTTTTAATTGCACTTTCGGTAACACCGGAAGTGAAGGTCAAGCGGTTTTGTGTACGGGAACAAGGAATGTTTGACACGGCATAGTCTACAACCTCAAGAAAAAACGAACACGATACTCTTTTTAGTTCAAAAGATATAGCGCAAACTATTTTGTCAAAATTTGGCCTTAAATCGCTTGTAATTTGATACCTAATGACGTCATGATGACGTTACAAAGATTATAACATCTTCGTAACATGGTACAAGTTCATACTAGTTTTAATGATCATAGCGTTTACCGTTTGGATGAAATTTTGCTTTGGTTTGATTTCAGGCTAAAGTCTTAATTTGAAATCACATTACTTTGACATTCCGGTAGACCCGGAAGTAAAGGTCAAGCGAGTTCACGTACACAAAAAAAGTTTATCAACTAATGGTCTATCTGATTACAAAGTTGGAACATTATTGAATGTTTTGTTTAAGAGTTATAGTGAAAGTAATTAGCCTTGTTTTCCTCTAAAATCGCTTGTAAATTGACACCCGATAACGTCATCGTGACGTCAGAGTAATATGCACCACTTGGGATGAGGGTCGATATATATTAAAAGTTACAAGTTCATATCATAAACCGTCTAGGAGAGAACCCGCGGAGAAGTATTGTCCGGAATAAAAAGACGGAAAGAAAGAAGATTTATGAGAACAATTCCAGAGAGTGGTCGGGCAAAATGATTAAGGATTCACACCGAATGCTGACAGCGACGTAGAAAAAAAAGATTCTCTTCAGTTTAATATAATATTGGGATTAGTTTTTGACAATGATATAAATTATGCTGGAACTAAAATTTCATATTATGCTAATAAAACATGGTTGAAGAAATGAACCGAAACAGGTAAGTCCATTCCGCTGGTTCAAAATATTGAGTGCAGGAAGCCATGCAGTCCGGATTGCTGGAACTTCCGTCCAGAAACCGATCCAACCGGGCGGCGCGCGGTACGGTCTGAAAAAAGGTGGAACCATTTTAAAAGGTTTTTTGGACGGAAAATGGATCACAAATCAGGTTAAAAAGTTGCTCTTTGTTTCTAAAAAAATTGACAATAACCTATAAGCGGTGATAAGGTTATGCAATCGAAATGATTGATTATATATCAAATATATCTTTGACGAATGGCATAGAGTGACGTTGACAAAAAAAACATTCACTCATGAAATTCACGAAAGTAATTGTTTGGTGAAAATTGGTGTACAAAGGTACTTATCCATATTTAAAACCCTAACCGCCCTGAATCCTCCAAAATCCTTTTTGCAAATTGGAGGAATTTGCAGGATTGAGGTTACATGGCAAAAGTGCGTTACTGATTTCGGAGTATGCACTGTGTCAAGGTCTTGGGCCGGACCTTGTGTTGTTTATGCTCAGCCGTGCATAAATTTAGTCCTTGATTATACTTGAAATCCTCCGCACTGCTCCAAGATGTCACTGCCTCTGCCTCAACCTATTGACAGTCATAGCCGGAGGATTTTGCAGGATTCAGGCAGTGGTCACCCCTCCATGGACCATATTCAAGAAATAACGGAGGAATTGCAGGATTGAGGCTATATGCTATTTTTACATGAGGCCAATTGGAGGATTTTGCAGGATTGAGGCTACATCCTAGCAAAAAGGCCTAGGGAGTTAGGGTTAATAACATCATTTACTGTGAAAACAATGTTTGTTCTTTTTTATTAGTTTATTTCATTTATACTGTCGGCCTTAATAGAAAAAAACAAACGCAGTCTGATTATATGAAGAATATAATACATGTACATGTACATGTACATGTACATGAAACAGCCGTTGTAAATAATGCGGGACTTTCCCATGAGCATGAAATCGTAGCTAGCACGCAATGACTGAGAAATAGTCAGCTCCCGATACCAGGGCCGAACAATGCACGCATTGAGTACCTATCAATTCTGGGAACGCGATGACTGCCAGCGCTTGTACTTGTTCACGAACAGACGCAGCAAAGAGGCATCGTGTCCAGTGAGAAATGACACGAATGAGGTGCAGAATTTTGCCTTCTTTGCTGGCCTTCACATCATAAACGAGGAACAGAGCTACACATCAAGAACTTGCTGATGTACTCATTTTGCCGAGCAGCAGTACAGACAGTGGCGAAGCCGGGGGGGGGGGGGGGAGGGTGCGACAGCCCCCCCATGGAACCTTGTCGCGCCCCCAGTCGCGCCCCCCCCCCCCCCCTTGAGATTTTGAGTTTCTAAAAAAATTATCATTGATCTACATGACGCCCCCCAATGAAATGTTCCAGCCCCCCCCCCCAGCTCCCCCCCCCCCCCCCCCCCACTGAAAAATCCCTAGCTACGCCACTGAGTACAGACCAACTCTGCAGGGAAACATGACGATTTGCTATGCCTTCCGTTGCCATCACAATTATGCGAATACATGTACATGTACTTGTCTCGTCTTGTCTTGTGGTACTGCCCAACACCCCTAAATATGGGCCAACCAGGCAGGGTTGCGCTTGATGAAAAAATTAACACAAGAATAAAAAATGAGCACCGGTTTTTAGGTTTAGTTTTATAATTTCCCTATCCAAAGGCAAATACAGGCCGATCTATTACTGTAGAATTTTTGGCTGTTTAGGCACTTTTGCCGAAACAGCCTTTGCTTTCGTTAAGATTTTTTCTTTTTCTTTTTGGCTTTTCCGCTTAACAGCAGAAAAGCCTTTGTTTTGTTCTGATTTTTTTTTTGGCTTTTCCGCATAGTGCGGAAAAGCCTTTGTTTTTGTTCTCATTTTTTTTTTTTTTCCTTCTTCTTTTTGTCGCCAAAACCCCATAGACTTTGTGCACGTTTTTTCTCAGTGCCACTTTTGGCATTAATCTTTGTCAGACATCATTCAAAGTTTGCATAAGCATAGT